TATGGGAGTGTCATGAGTGCTGTGATGTCAATTCTCAGTTTTAACATTTAATAATTAGGATGAAGTTGAGAGAAAAAAAATTGTGATGTAATAATTCTTCGCGTTCTCCAGCTGCACATCTGTTTTACAGTTCTAACTCATTGGTATACAGACTTCTGGTTCCTTGTCTCTCCGGCAGATGCACTTCTACGTCTACTTCAAAGGAAGCTCTCATTTAGTCGACTCTTAGACATGCTTTTCTGGAGACAGAGGGTCTGATCTTGTTTTCCCCACAATGGGGCCACAGAAGCCACACGGAGAAGTGAATTCATTACATTCAACATGGCAATATACATTGCGGCAATGATCTTTGAGGACGTCAGATATCTTTAGTATGTTCTGAGAAATATCAAATTTAAAGAGACGAGAGTACATGCCGCGCAATGATATCGAGTAGCAGAGTAATACACACAGCAGGTTTTGCTAAGGGCTAAAAGAGTTCAACAACAATGTTGCGTGTTACATAGAACACGATGACGCAGACTGAAAGTTACTGTGTGCTGTCAAGTAGCTGGAACAAACCCCATATGACCTCAATTTTTCTGATTACTTATCTCGTTGTGTATGCTTACCTCAAGGTCACACCCACGGCCATACTTACCGTTGATCGCGTGACCTATTCTCTGCGCAATCAGAAAGTGAATGTCGCATACACATCTCCAGCCCTTGTTCGTGTTTAGTCGCAACGTGTCCCAGTTCTCATCTGTTTTTCTCCGAGCCCTGAAGGCAAGCTTAGGAGCTTCATTTAGTATCCTTACAGAACAGTCGCCTGGAGAATACGGCCATGGATGATGCCGTTTCCGGAGAACGAGGTAGGGGGTCGACCTCCTCGAATGTGGATACAAGACAGGGTAGCACAGAGAGCAGTATTATACAGGTATAGTGGTAACAGAACCAGAGGTCGACTAAGCAGAATATGGACCGCAGAAATATCAGACACTGAAAAGTACTTTTTACAAAGCGAAAGGAGGAGCCCATAGATCTTTTCCTTCGCTGACGCCGCGAGACATTCCAGGAGTAGAGAAACGAAGAAGATGTGTTGGTTATGAAAGCACACAGGGCTGGAGAACTGGCTAGAGAAAGATAAGGCTCTCAAGCGTAACCCTGAAGAGAGCGACGTTCTGTAGAGGACTTGCTGATTGATGATTATCCTAACGCATACAGGTAACATTCATGGGAACGTCAAATAAAGTACATCAAGGTACATTGTGGAAAAAGGGGGGGGGGGGGGGAGGCGAAGAAGAGGAGGGCAAAGAAGATCTGGAATGGCAACATCAAGAAATTGACAGGGCTAAGTTATCATACACTTATTCATCAAGCAGAAGACAGAGAAAGATGGCGGGTTTTATGTGCTAGTGCTTCCATCAATACACCTCCACGACCCTAATGGGTCAAGCGTTATGTTATGTATAAATTTCATGTGGCAACACACGGACGTGAGTTGCCGACTGTCAAGCAGTTACTAAGGACGAAAATCGAGTATTTTGAACTGAAACGATACAGGAAGATTCTTAGGCTATTGGTGACCAAGAAGGGCGAAAATACGGACATTTGTGTTGAAGGGATCTAGACATAGCAAGAAATATATCTTCTCGGAGACTGAAGGAGCCCTTTGGGAAGGGGTAAACACTGCAGAGGCACAGATAGATGATTACGGTTTAAGGAGAATGGCACTGCGTGGTGTTACCATGGAATGTGGCCGACGATGAACACTCATGGAAAGGATGAGACGGATATACAATCAGACGGTTACTGGTACTATCGGAATTGGAACTCTTCGCTTGTTGTTGAAGATGGGGACTGGGCACTTATGGGAGTGTATCCAGTGTTGTGATGTCGATTCTTAATTCAACAATCGGAAACTGGAAAATTTAATTTATTTGCATGGCTTAACTAGACCTAAAATGTTTAATTCTATTGTCAAGTCAGTGTTGCTGTACTGAGCGTAAACACGACGAAGAACTAAAACAATGACTGATTGGGCTAAAGCACAAACATTCATTAACTGGTAACTGCGCAAAATAGAGGGAACTAAATGATATGATAGAATCTGAAAATGTTTAGCGTTGGGGGAGAGAGCTAAACAAATTCCAGTGAATCAATAGGTGAAGAACAGACGCAGGCATTGAATAGGACGTCGAACTCCTTGTGGTCCGGGTTCACGCCATGGGTAGGCAGAAAAGCCACATTTCTCCCAGATTTACGGTATGTATTAAGGAATCAAACCCGAAGGGTTGCGATATCCATAGTACCGAGCTAAAGGGTTTACAGCTCATGGTTTCTGGATACTTAAAAAACACACCTGAGAACGGTGTAACTAGAATATCTTTGCACTTAAACCCATAAGGGTATAGAAATAAAGGCAAATCAAAGGACGACTTGACGTGAGTAGGTTGTAAGGAAGCCTAGGCCCTCAACCAACTCCCGCCAAGTCGTTCTATCCTTCACTATTGCATGCAGCTCTCCCCATGTCCTATCAGAGGAATCGTCATTGTAGAGTACAGTATCAGAGGAACCGTCACTGTAGAGTACAGTATCAGAGGAACCGTCACTGTAGAGTACAGTATCAGAGGAATCGTCATTGTAGAGTACAGTATCAGAGGAATCGTCATTGTAGAGTACAGTATCAGAGGAACCGTCACTGTAGAGTACAGTATCAGAGGTATCGTCATTGTAGAGTACAGTATCAGAGGAATCGTCATTGTAGAGTACAGTATCAGAGGAACCGTCACTGTAGAGTACAGTATCAGAGGAACCGTCACTTTAGAGTACAGTATCAGAGGAACCGTCACTTTAGTGTACAGTATCAGAGGAACCGTCACTGTAGAGTACAGTATCAGAGGAACCGCCAATGTAGAGTACAGTTTCAGAGGAGCCGTCAATGTAGAGTATAGTATCAGAGGAGCCGTCAATGTAGAGTACAGTATCAGAGGAACAGTCACTGTAGAGTACAGTATCAGAGGAACCGTCACTGTAGAGTACAGTATCAGAGGAACCTTCACTGTAGAGTACAGTATCAGAGGAACCGTCACTGTAGAGTACAGTATCTGAGGAATCGTCATTGTAGAGTACAGTATCAGGGGAATCGTCATTGTAGAGTACAGTATCAGAGGAACCGTCACTGTAGAGTACAGTATCAGAGGAACCGTCACTTTAGAGTACAGTATCAGAGGAACCGTCACTTTAGAGTACAGTATCGGAGGAACCGTCACTGTAGAGTACAGTATCAGAGGAACCGCCAATGTAAAGTACAGTTTCAGAGGAGCCGTCAATGTAGAGTACAGTATCAGAGGAACCGTCACTGTAGAGTACAGTATCAGAGGAACAGTCAATGTAGAGTACAGTATCAGAGGAACCGTCACTGTAGAGTACAGTATCAGAGGAACCGTCACTGTAGAGTACAGTATCAGAGGAACCGTCACTGTAGAGTACAGTATCAGAGGAACCATTAATGTAGAGTACAGTATCAGAGAAACCGTCACTTTAGAGTACAGTATCAGAGGAACCGCCAATGTAAAGTACAGTGTCAGAGGAACCGTCACGGTAGAGTACAGCATCAGAGGAACCATCACTGTATAGAGCAGTATCAGAGGAACCGTCACTGTAGAGTACAGTATCAGAGGAACCATTACTGTAGAGTGCAGTGTCAGAGGAACCGGCACATGCTGGGCTCGCCTGTTATCTCGTCAACACTACAACGAGGCCGTGGTATTTGCGGTGAAGACAACGTACACATGGACAAGGTCGGTGATGGGAGGCGTCGCCGAGGTTTCATAATTAGAGCGACCTCTGTTTGCAGGCTCCTTAACTCGTCGAGTCTCGGGCTGTTATTTTCCGATGTTCAGTCCATACAGTTTTCACAACTGATTTCCACACTGGACGAAACCTACAGTGATCCATCGTCAACGCATTATTTTTAAAGAAGCAATACATACTCAACGTATATGAAACATTGCTGCATTTCAAAACAGATAACAGAGGACAACGCACTGGGCAGAACTGGTTCCATATGGATAGTTGGTGAGTGGTAGAAATAATGAATAACATGCAGCCACGTCGTATGAGGAACCGCTTAGTGGGTTATCATGCCAATATGTGAAAGCTCTCATATTAGCCATCCCACACCAGTAACTGAATTCATGGATCATGTCATTGTTTTCGCCTCGCTCTGTCCATTTGGCTGAGTAAGGCAGAAACCTTTTCACGTCTTCGGGCATATTGGGCTTATGGTGCTAGGCTTAACAGTTTTTAGACCAATCAACACTCGGTGGGTGATGTGGTCAGTATTGCGCCGGCCGCTTTTACTTCCTGGGACTTCACCGGGTAGCCATGTGAGTTTCGGTCCACCTGGCGGCCAAGGTCACTTTAGAACAGAGGTTCTCAACCTGCCGGTCTCGACCCTTTTTTGTGTGGGTCGAACCACTCTTTCACAGGGGTCGCCTTAGACCATCAGAGAACACATATTCATTGAAGTTCTAAAGGAACATAATTGTTTGGGGGTCACCATAACATTAAACGGTCGCGGCATTAAGAAAGTTGAGAGTCTCTGCTTTAGAAAAACGAAAGGCTAGCTCCATTCAAATTTGAACGCCACAAACTTGGCACTCGCAGGTGAGCATCTAGCGCTGACCACGCCGGCTCTCCTGTTTAATGGGTACTTTAATAATTACCTGATACCGGATGAGTTAAAGTCCCAGCAAGAGCTGCAAGTAAAATTTCGCCATGACATGAAAAATGAAGATAACGTTCGCCTGTCAATTATCGTTGCGAACTTAACCCCACATCTGGCGGTCAGGCATGTATATCTGAAGTGCCGTTTTTCAACTATCGAGAATAGAGTAGGTGAATGCATAAACACGTCCTAGAATTAGACATACGGTCAAAGGACATTATCAGTTGAACGAGTTTCACATCAGCACAGGCGTACAAGGGGAAAGAACTTTCACCACACGCCCCAGAAGATGAGCGCAAAAAAGATTGGAGTTATTGGCAGGTGAGTGATTGTGAACTTGTTTCAGACCACAAAATGTCACCAGCAGGCAGGTTCCTAGAGACTGAAGAGAAAGAAATCGGTTGTTATAGTTTTTCTATTTTTCTATTATTGTTACATCGGTAGTCTCCAGTATGTATTTAGTTTAAAACGTAATATTTCATTATTATTTTGAGCTAAAAAAAACGGGACATTCCACTAATATTTTAAGCCGAAAAAGGGACATTCCACTAACATTTTGACCTGAAAACGGGACATTCTACTAATATTTTAAGTTAAAAAATGACACAGCAATCAAGTCAGTTTAACTCCACCACACCCTTTTAGTTAGGTCACCCGGGTTAAAGGAATTAATTACTAGCTAGGTAATAGTACTATTCTTCTTTTGTCAAAATCTGCTTGTGCCGCTAGGCGTCGCAGTCTATCAGATGATCGGCAACCGAGCAAGGGCGCGCTTAGTCGCTTCATATGCCGTGATGTTATGAAGTCTCAAGTTGTCCGTGACTCCTTCAATCCATCTTCTTCTTGGTCTTCCCCTGCCTCTTGGTGTTTCGATTTTCATGTTGTATGCTCTTGATGCTGGCATCGTTGGTTCCATTCTCATTAGGTGACCAAGCCATTTCATTCTTTGCTTCTCAATAAATTTAACGATGGGTATGGTTCCAATAGTTCTTGTAATCACATCGTTTCTCACTCGATCTCTTCTGGTTTTATTCGCAGCCATTCTCAAACATCTCATTTCACAGGTGGTTAGTCTTCTCTCGTGTTCTTTTGTTAATGTCCAAGTCTGACATTGATAACCTAATGTCGGTATAAAGATTGTATTTATAATGTGTCTTTTTATCTCAGCTGGGACAGCAGGGTGTTTTTAAATTGGGGCAAGCTGGTATGCGACATTGTTGGCTTGTTGGATTCTTGCTTCGATCTCTCTGTCTATTTTACCATTGAATGTAAAGATACTTCCCAAGTATTTTAATTCTTGCACTTGTTTTAGGCTGTAATCTAGAATCTTTATGTCGATGGTCTGTTGCTCTCTGCTTATGCTCATGACTTCTGTCTTTTCAGTATTGATCTTCATATGATGCTTGAGGCAACTGTCGTGTAGTAGGTTTATGTGGTCTTGCAGCTGTTTACTTTCACTGTGAAATAGGCATTGATCGTCGGCAAAGAGCAGCTCAAATAGTACTATAAAAACACCAAATATTGTCAAGAAATCAACGAATCAATATGCTCTTCTACTACCCTGTGGAAAAAAAAAAAAACATACTTCAGTTAAAATTCCCATAAACACATTTCAGGCATTACAATTATCTTAAACTATGAAATCTAATAAATAATAATGTTGTTTCAGGCACAAGTACCTTAAACTATAAAATCTAATTTTTAAAAAAATAATGTCCCTAGATGTGTTATGGATGTATCATTTGATATGCAGCTTCTCTCCCCCTGAGGCCAAACTTCCTGTCCCGTCTCTTTTTATGCTCACGATCTGCCAGATTTATTCGCAAGCGCAGCCACACTAAAATAATCAACAACATTTGGCACCCTGCCACATATTTACTTGTCCAGCAAATTAAAGACAGAAAGATAGCGGGTTGTCTGTGCTAGTGCTTCTTGACTTCGATACACCTTCTCGACTTTTAACGGGTCAAATTTTACGTTATGTTACTTAATTCACTATGCCTGACAGATCAGCACATTTGTAAAACTATGTTTTATTCAACGGTTTGTTTCTGTTGCCCAGTGGCCTCATTGGCCGCAGTTTTGCCATGCTGTTTGCCAGTGCTGGCTATAAGGTGGTCATATTCGACATAGAACCAGCGCAGACCCGGGCAGCCAAGGAAGACATACGAGAGCAGCTAGCCAGTCTAGAGAAGAACGGTCTCCTCAAAGGTTCGCTAAGTAGGCAGCAGCAGTTTGACAACATATCCACTACTGAGAATTTGGAGGAGTGCGTCAAGAATGCATTCTTCATTCAGGTACAATATGCTTTGCCTTCTCTCAACACTTGAATGTTTTAGCTATCATATCTACGTTTCAAATCAATGTTTCCTCGTTGTAAATTTATCCAAAGAAAATTAACTAATAATATTTTGCCCGGCATGTTTCGCTGCAGGAGTGGCCTTGGCGACGCGGCTGACCATCGCAGCGGATCGGAAGGTCGTAGGTTCGATCCCTAGCGGAGCCGGACTTTTTTCAAAAATAACCTTGGCTTCTAGGTCGACCCAGCCTTGAGTGGATACCGGGGACAGTCCCGGGAAGTAAAATCGGCCGATGTGATGATGACCACATCACCCATCCTGTGCCGATTGGTCTCTAAAAATATAGATTTAGCCTTATATTACCTATTTGCCTAAAGGCGTGGAAAAGGGTTCTTAACTTTTTTTAAATGTTTCGCTGCATCTCGCTAGGTGTATACTACAGTAACAATTGATTACAATGATGAAAATAGATTAATTAATCCTTGGAACTGAAATATAAATTAAACTACAAAACGCTTAAGTTCAGATTTCATGAATCTGAGTTTCTCCTGGTGAAAGGCGTTTACTTTTGAGTGTAGTTCTTCTGTTTTGATCGCGTTCCCCGGCTTCAAAATTATGGCTGAAAGTTATGGTTGTCCGTCCACTTCTGAACAGTAAACATAATTATATACTCTCCCCATGTGGGCTCCGGGACCCCACTGCCTCCCCAACAAACATGTCGTAAGAGTCGACTAATTAGGATCTTCCTTTAAAGTCTGAGTGCATCTCCTGAGAGGCTAAACCCCGACAATTTACAAACAACCATATCAGATCTGTCTAACGGATGTGCACGCAACACTCAGGTTCTGGAACAAGACTACAGTTCAGAGGTGGACAAACAACTAGAACTTTCCTCTGGAGTTTACAGCCAGTAAACGTTGAGATAATAAAGAAAAAAATAGTATACTTGAAATAATGTGTATAAACACAAACGTAAAAGGAGAGCGTTATATATGGCGGAAAGGAGGTGGTGGGGTGAGGGGGGCGCAACTTAACCCCTTTACAAATTCAACAAAAGGGCGAGGGGTGTAGGGGTGGGGGATGAAGGTGGCTTAGCTTGCAAGGAACTCTCTAATAAGTTTCATGTAGTAACTACCGCAGGACATTTATTGAAGCTGCTGTTGTCTCCTTGCAGGAGTGTGTGCCCGAGCGACTGGACATCAAGCGTAAGGTGTGGGCCCAGGTGGACAAACTGGTCGGCGATGACGTCATCTTGTCCTCATCAACCAGTGCCCTGCTACCGTCAGCCATTTCTGAAGGACTCACCCACAAGAACCGCTTCATTATCTCCCACCCTGTAAGGTGTCCGTTTGTGACTGTCCTTAAATATATCCGTTCTTTTTATAAGCATTTATTAAGTTTGTTTGTTTATTTGTTTGTCTGTCTGGTACATATTTGGGTTTAATTTTCACATAAAATAAAATTGTAGACAATTTACGGAAAGAGAAAAATTTACAATCGTGTCCGTTAAACTATATGATAAATTCTTTTTTTAAACCCCCTCCTTATTTGAAGTCCATTAATAAAAGCTTACTTTATAAACAGTATTATGTTATATCCAATTTCGTCCTTTTTAGGACGAAATTTTTTGTCATTTGAAGCCCTACTCTGGCTTTTGCCAGGGGCCGCAATATAGGCAGGCCATATATATGGCCAAATGTCTGAACGCGGTTTCTGGGACCTCTCCACGGAGATCCTCATCCACATGGTGGCACTTTGTGTCATCGGGTGTTTATCGCTTGTGTGATGTCCTGGTGGGGTAGAAATTCAGTTCAGTTCAGTTTTATGTAGATTTGTTTCCCTGGAAAACAAGAGTTATCGGTACTCGTCACAAAGTGTCCAAAAAGGTTTGAATACTATTCACAGAGGGTTAATTGCAGTAGCGCTGAAAAATGAACGATACCTAAAATAGGTGCCAGTACTGCATACTGTTGTGTGCCGCTAGAAATAAGAGTCCTGAATATGCTGTACTTGAAATGATTAAACATAAATGATTAGTTGACACGCATACACATACAACCAACACATACACACAGGAGCACGCGAACTTTAGATAATAATCTGTGAGACGACAAAACCACGACAGTGAGCTACAACATGTTATCAGTAAGACGACAAATCCACGACACTGGGCTACAACCTGGTACAGTAAGACGACAAAACCACGACACTGGGCTACAACCTGTTACAGTAAGACGACAAAACCACGACACTGGGCTACAACTTGGTACAGTAAGACGACAAAACCACGACACTGGGCTACAACTTGGTACAGTGCGACGACAAAAATACGACACGGGGCTACAACTTGGTACAGTGCGACGACAAAAATACGACACTGGGCTACAACTTGGTATCAATGAGATGATAAAAGAAGAAGAAAAAGTAGTAGAGTGGAATAACTACTAGGATGGTTATGTGAAGGGAGGAGGATAGACTACTGTTTGCTCTCTCTCTCTCTCTCTCTCTCTCTCTCTCTCTCTCTCTCTCTCTCTCTCTCTCTCTCTTCGTCCTTGACCTGCCTAAGACTCACCGGGTTGACCTTTATTTCTTCTTCTTCTTCCTCTTCTCTTTCACCTTGTACCTCATCGAAGTGTCGGGGGCGGGGGGGGGGGGGGATGTAATGTTCGTTGATGAGCTCTGTCAAGAGCACTATTAAGACTGATGTTCATTTCTGTAAGGCTGTTCTTAATGCCATCACTCCATATTTTCCGAGGTCTTCCACTCGCTCTATACCCGTTGTAACGTTTTAGTGTGGCTCGCTGTGGCGGATAGTACCAGGGCATTTTTGTTAGGTGTCCAAACCACTTCACTTGTTGTTCTTTGATGACCTGTAAGACTGGCTTTATTCCTAGCATTCGTCTGATTTCATGATTTCGTATTCTGTCTTTCGTTGAAACTCCTGCAGCTCTTCTAAGGCATTTAATCTCTGTCGTCACAATTTTACCTACTTATATATGCAAAAAACATAGCTTCTCCTGTCTCCTCATGATGTTTTGAAAATGTGACATTGCCTGGTCATTCTAGACCATGTTGTTATGTGGCAAACGTGTTGTTTATTACGTAGATAAATAAATAAGGATAGCACATTTTGACCCATACAAGTTCGAGCTTCAGATAATCGCAACAGGGCTGCCACCGTTCTCAAAGGGTGGATATCCTTCGGAAGTTAACTTTGCACACCTGGTCATGTCAAAGTAAAAGGCAATGAACGAGCGAAATAACTGGCAAGTACTGAATCACTGCATGCGAGGAGATGCACGTACAAAACTGATATCAACACTATGCAGACTCCACTGGCGGTTAAGGAGGAATCTCTAACGCTAACACAACTACATGTCCATGCCGGGGACCATCTGCGAGGTCAAGCTGGGTAGACATTTTAGTCAACTCCTCACAGGAACTATCAGTAGAGAGATTTTGGAGTGCCTGCTCCACCGGAGGAACCAGCACGCCTGTAGGTGTCCACAGTTCATTAACGTCTTTTGTGGGAACATAATATAACCTGGGCGAATTACTGTTGAAAATACAGCAGGTACAAAATAGCTATGTAAAGCTCACCCGCCCTGCCTCAACATGTGATGGGGAAATTAGGTTATTGCAGTTTCATTTTCATAACAAACGGACCAGTCCAAGTTGCCTCCGTTGCGGTGCCTACGAAAACCAAACAGAATAACCACCGCTTTTTCCTTCGGAAATCGCCATTAAAGTTGGTCGCTTTACTCTTCATTTTGCTTCAGACTTCTATCTGTTCTAACAACACGAATCTACCTTTGATTGTTGTTCTGTGTGCAGACCAACCCTCCATTCTACTGTCCTGCAATTGAAGTGGTGCCGGCTGGATGGACAGACCCGGATGTTATAGAGAAGACGTTCACTGTGCTCAAGGAATCAGGCCTTGTCCCCGTGTTGATCAAGAAGGAAGTTCCAGGATTTGTACTCAACCGCATCCAGTACGCCATCATTGGTGAATGCTACAGGCTGATCAAGGTAAGACCTGTTGATATGTATTTTCACTTCTTCTTTTGCCCCCCCCCCCCCTTTTCTTCCTTACTGTTTATGTCTGAAGCGTAGCAGAGAGGGGCTGGAGGTAGTTTCCTATCTTCTGTTTATTGTGTAGCTTGTGTTAATGTCATTTTGCATTTCTGTAGTGGCTCATGATTAACACAAAAACTTTTGCCTGTGAGCTTGTGTTCTCAGCACACTGCTTTATGGCACTGAAGGCTGGTCAATTTATTCGCACCAGGAGAGACGGCTAAATAGCTTCCACATGCGATGTCTAAGAAGAAAACTTGGCATTAAATGACAGGGACAAGATCACAATCACTGAGGTACTGGAAAGAGCGAGTACTACAACAGTCTTCTCAATGCTCAGTCTACGAAGACTCAGGTGGCTGCATGGAGAATGGAGGTAGGCAGAGTCCGTAAGGACATCCTTTATGGTAAATTAAAGATGGGTAGAAGATGTCGGGCCGACCTCTACTACGATATAAAGATGTGTGCAAGAGGGACATCAATGATACAGGTATTGAGGATCTCGTGGGAACAAAATGCTTTTCTTCACACGGGCGGGTCCTGCTAGTCACACGCCATCGCCATGGGCTGTGAGTCCTATGCCTACTCATAGCGCAGTATAACACTATCGCCTGAAAAGACGGAATGGTACCAAGGCGCCAATCAAAGTGTCTCTTTTACTCCCTCTATCCATCTCTCTCTCTCTTAGCCGACACCTTGCCTTTAGCCTGCTGTTCTCGTATAGTCCGCTCTAGCTGCTGATTGATTTTGTTTTGGTTCTGCAACGTCCTGTGAAGAATACGCAACTTTTCCATGTGTGTGTTGCCAATGAATAGTGCAAAGTATTATGTTGTGTCTGTGTTCGCATATACAAACTCTATATGCATTTTATAACGTTTAAATAATGCAGACACAAGCAATAATTGCATGATTCATTGCCATGTATATTTCGCTGAAATACACGGACAAAGAGAGTGCTCTCCGGGTTATTTGTCACACATCTACAGGGGAACTGAAGTAACGGCTGTTGGGAACTGAAAGAGATAGTATAGTCCGTTTTAGAAGTCGTGCCTAGGTTTTAAAATCTGTAACTCGGTAAGCGTTCGCTGTAAATTGTTGAAATTTGTCACGCAGCCTGTTAATAATGATGTTCTTGTAGGAAATAATTATAATGTAAGCAAAAATCTGGTTTTTGCTTTCCCTTATGTGCGATAGAGATAGGGGGGGGGGGGGGGAACAAGGCACTGATCCAAAGCATTCAATTAGATGTTTACAGTAATAGAATGATATGAATTTTTTTTTTAAATATTCAGTTGCACATGTTTTAGACGTACGCCATGCCACTAAAAAAAAAAAAAACGTGCAATTGCTTCATTGCGGTGGGAACGACACGTACCAGATTCATCGAGAGACAACAGATCAAGTTGTTTGGCCATCTTGTTAGAATGCAGCAAAATCAAATACCATCACAAGCATTACATTTCAGAAGACCAGCTACAAGAGCAAGAGGACATTAAAGACACTCTAACTCCTTCGCGGCATGACAATAGCCAGTGACAGCCAGCGTGCACTGCATCGCAAATTATTGCTCCCCACGGTCGCTTAACGGCAGAAGTGGTTTATGATGATGATGATGATGACTATCTCAGAGGGTGACTTAAGTAACTTCTGTTCGAGAACAAATGCCAAGGCCACATCTGCCACGTCGCTTCGTCAAGGTCACTATTAACTTTTAAAAGCATAATTTTTAGGAAATAATTACTAATTCATATATGAATTCCAGTAATATTTTAAAGAAACATTTTATACACACAAGCGAGTGCGCGTACACACACATTCACAGAAAGAGAGAGAGAGAGAGAGAGAGAGAGAGAGAGAGAGAGAGAGAGAGAGAGAGAGAGAGAGAGAGAGAGAGAGTTTCATGCGGTATAATCTCTACTATGATGCCAGTCTTTTATGCGGACAGAGATGATAATGCACATAATAACAAAGAATATTTCCTGGTGTAGGACGGAGTTGTCAGCCCCGAGGACTGCGACACCATCATGTCGCAGGGACTGGGCCTGAGGTACGCCTTCATGGGGCCATGGGAGACCGGCTATCTCAACGCTGAAGGTGGGTTCTTGTGTGAAAAAATGTTATATTTCCTTCAGGTTTAAAGTTCATGAATAAAGAAACACAGTCGCAATTTACTATGTCTTTCTGATCAGCAGTTTACCAGCCGTCTTCTCTTACAGAAGAATGTTTACTGACTGATTCGATTCAAGAACCGAGTTCTTTTCTGTTATCTCACCACATCAGGTCGGCTTCGAGATTTGGTAGGGAAATCCCCAGACTGTCCTATAGTATAGGGGGGTTAGGGTTAGGGCTAGTGTCAAATAAATAGCGACTATTACTAAGCCTAACCACCTTATCCAGTTTCTATGGGACAAATCTTTTGGTCATTTTCACTACCAAGTCTCGAAGCCAGTGGCCGAATATAGGTGGCCATAAATAGGAAGACCCCAGACCTCTCCACGGCACATCCGCACAGCATTGTTTATCGCTTGTGTGATGTCCTGGTGGGGTAGAAAGCGCTCCGTTAACCCCTTATCTTTGGGACAGTGTGATTTCCCTACCCAGCTCGAGAGTTATGGTGAATACCAATAAGACCCAAAGAACCCACATCACCGGCTTTAACTTTTATAGCTTTAAAACCATGCCGAGTTCCAATACCAATACCGGAACCTAAGCGTCCCAGCCATCTAGTTTAGTTTAGCCCCGAGATACTCTCAGCGGTGGCGGTAGTCGCCGAAGTGGGCAAGTTAAGTCGCCGGAAGTCAGAAATTGACACGTGACTGAGGCCTGTTAGGGTATATTTTCAGCCTGGATAATTTGGGCCCGTTTTTTCGGAAGATAGCCCAATACAGAAAGGTACGATAGATTATTATTGTCTGCAGATAGGAGTGACATGAGGGATCTGATCGACAGTCGACGCTCAGAGGAAAGGGAAGACGGATATACAATCAAAATGCCTCTGGCACCACTGCAATTCGACATATTCGCTGGCTGCTGAAGATAAGGACATAGCGGCTATGGAAATGTCCTGCGTGCTGTGGTGTCAATTCTTAGCTCAACACTCAATTTAATGACTTTACTGTACAAATGGTTTCCCCCCTCCCCCATGGAAGAAATATAACTGAATAATTGTATCATTGTAATTATTTAACGAGAGATGTGCGGCTGGTCGAAAGGACAACAATACAGGGCTGTCATGGCGGCAGACCTGGGTTCGAATTGTCAGTAAGTTGGAGTTTTTTTTAACCCCCGTGGGAGCAAAAACAAAAGCCTAACCTGCACAGAAGGTGGCGACAGCACTAGTTATACGGCCTTTTAGCAACAAAACCCCCCTCCCCCCACCCAAGTCGTGTTTTACAACATCCTTTTTTTTAGGGACAGGGAGTTTATTATTTTCCTTTCCAAACAACCTTACCTTGCAACCCACACAGGAAAGTTACTAAATAACTGAAGTTGTGTTGATGCACATGATGATGTTGGTAACAAAATATTTCTTGGTGTGATACATTCCAGGTATGCTCAGTTACGGAGAGAGATATGCAGACATGATCCTTGACATTCAGAAGTCCTTTGGGCCTCCAGAGCGGATTGAGGGTCCCACCTTACAGGCTATTCATGCTTCCATGGAGCGGCTAGCGGGTCCAGTACAGGACATCCAGAAACGTCGGCAGTGGCGGGACAAGCGACTGATCGCACTTGCTAAACTCAAACGGGATCTGGACGCGGAAGATCAGGCAGGCAAATAGAGGTTTTGGAATACCGATGTTCTGGCAACGCTTACATAGACTGGCTCTCTGGCTACCCTCACACAGACCAACTCTATGTTACACTCACTCAGACTGACTGGCTACCCTGACATAGATCAACTCTCTGGCTACACTTACATGGATTGACTCTTTGGCTACACTCACATGGATAGACTCTCTGGCTACATTCATACAGATCAACTCTCTGGCTACACTCACATGGATCGACTTTCTGGCTACATTCACATATACCAACTCTAGCTACCTTTACAAAGGCAATCTTTTTACCAACCCTCACAAAAACTAGGCTCAGTACCTGCACAAACCAGCTCAGATACGCTCACATAAACCAGCCTCGGCTTCCATAGACAATAGTCTTGCTACTTTCACACAGTCAACTCTAGAGAGCCTTAAAGAAAGCAACTGTCTAGCTTTCCTCACACATGTTGATGAGTTCAGCTGTCATGTTCAGTGTAACCAAAACACTTTTATATTGTTGTTGTTATAAATTTATGTTGATCATTGCCATCATAAATTGCTGGTAATTTTATAAATCATAAGTGTTGTCATTTCTGATAACTGATTTTTTAAACTTATTTTTATGTTGGCTTTTAGCATTAAATTAAGTCAGACAGTGCCCAGTTGTGTGTGATATCACCAGTAAGTCAGACAGTGCCCGATTGTGTGTGATATCACCAGTAAGTCATACAGTGCCCAGTTGTGTGTGATATTACCAGTAAGTCAGACAGTGCGCAGTTGTGTGTGATATCACCAGTAAGTCAGACAGTGCCCAGTTGTGTGTGATATCACCAGTAAGTCAGACAGTGCCCGATTGTGTGTGATATCACCAGTAAGTCAGACAGTGCCTGATTGTGTGTGATATCACCAGTAAGTCAGACAGTGCCCAGTTGTGTGTGATATCACCAGTAAGTCAGACAGTGCCCGATTGTGTGTGGTACATCTAAACATATGCCCCCCCCCCCCCCCTCCAAAATGCCATTTCATACAGTTCTGAATAATATTCTTTCATTAGTCTACATGTATACACGAAGTTTGTTTTAAAAAACAAAACCCATCCGACCAATAGCTTTCACCACAAAACAAGTACAAGATAAGATATTCAGGAAACTGAAGATCATAAGAGAATATATTTTTCTACATACACAAATATATAAAGCCATGAAGATACCATTAGAGAAATTAAATTATTATCGAGAAATTTAAGTGACGTACAAGTTTAAAGTGATGCTGTCGTATATTCAGATCACACTCTGCTGAAGAAAGTTAAGCTGAATTTCGAGAGAGAGAGAGAGAGTGAGAGAGAGAGAGAAAGAGAGAGAGAGTGAGAGAAAGAGAGAGAGAGAGAGAGAGTGAGAGAGAAAGAGAGAGAAAGAGAGAGAGAGAGATGACCTGTAGGACATAGCTATTCAATCAATTAAGCTTACTTAGGGGCCCAAATGTTGGAAATGTTGATCATCATGGACCTCCAGCCCTAGCACGGAAAGATCAATACAACTGGCAGTGATCCATGGGACACTTGATAAACCTCTGCAGGCCAGACTGGGCCCATGATCCGCCACTTGGATAGCCCTGATGTAGGAGATCTCAGAGGATCACAATGTTAAATGTTGAATTAAGAATTGACATCACAGCACTCACGGCACTTCCATAAGTGTTCCGTCCCTATCTTCAGCAGCAAGCGAAGAGTTCCAATTCTGATGGCACTTGTAGCCATCTGATTGTATATCTGTCTCATCCTTCCCCTGAGGGTTGAGCGTCGGCCAGATCCCCTGGTAACTCCTCGCAGCACCATTCTCCTCAGACGCCTAATGACCCCAGTGGAAGACTAAACTGTGAGTCTTTTGTGATGTATTATAGCACAACAGGATGATGATGAGGATACCTCATACATTTAGACATTATGAACACACTGGTCATGATCTCAAAAGGGTTGCAAGGGCTGCAACAGTTAGTAGATTAGATAACTACTGGGCACTGCTAGCAGCAGATTGAAACACATCTGCAGCAAACCAGGCCCAGGAGTCTTTGGGAAACTTGAACACAAATGTGAAGAATTATTCAAACCGGAAACCATTCACAAACTATAAGCAAGGGAACAAAACAGATTTCAGCAACAGTCAAGTGGACACTAATACAGCTAGATCCCCTTAAGAATACACAGGAACTAATCTTAGAAATAGGATATCAGCAGCTAAGACAAGGTTAGATAGAAAAGCAGATGATGTCAAAAGTAACACAGCATGGGCCCTGTTCTGTGTAATGAGGTGCAAGGAGCGGTCAGAGGTTTCAGCTGTGAACATCTATTATGAATTAACTCAACTGTGTGTCCATTAAATGCAAAATTGGTTGTACTGGGATCTGTCAACATCTGCTGCCACTGGGGTCTGTTGACATCTGCTGACACTGGGTTCTGTCAACATCTGCTGTCACTGGAATTTGTCAACATCTGTTGGGGTCTGTCAACATGTTGTCACTGGGGTCTGTCAACATGTTGTCACATGGATCTCTCAAGATCTGTTGTTACTGGAGTCTGTCAACATCTTGTCACTGGGGTCTGTCAACATGTTGTCACATGGATCTCTCAACATCTGTTGTCACTGGGGTCTGTCAACACCTGTTGTCACTGGCATCTGTCAACATGTTGTCACTGAGGTCTGTCAACACCTGTTGTCACTGGCATCTGTCAACATCTGCTGTCACTGGGGTCTGTTGACATCTGCTGACACTGGGTTCTGTCAACATCTGCTGTCACTGGAATTTGTCAACATCTGTTGTTACTGGGGTCTGTCAACATCATGTCACTGGGGTCTGTCAACATGTTGTCACATGGATCTCTCAACATCTGTTGTCACTGGGGTCTGTCAACACCTGTTGTCACTGGCATCTGTCAACATGTTGTCACTGAGGTCTGTCAACACCTGTTGTCACTGGCATCTGTCAAAATCTGTTGTCACTGGGGTCAGCCACCATCCATTACACAGGGGTCTGTCCAAACGCCATGGGGCTCGGTTAAATGCTAAACCTGCTTACAGCGGCCCTTTAAATGAAGGTTTTACTATCATTTTGACACTGTCTAACAGAGCCTACAAGTTATAGGCAGGCACTGAATACAAACATATTTTACATACACATCCCATGTAAGCAAGTGGATATGACAGCAACATCATACACAACAAGTAATGAAATGTAAGCATCCAGATGTAGCTGTAAGATCTATAAAATGTAAAAATCTGGACAAAGCAATAAAATCCGGGATTACAAGCAATCAGAAATGACATAAAAGCAGACATCAATTTTCACATTATATTAGTTAACACACTTTTTGTTACTGGTAAGAAGTACCATCAGTTCTCACAAGAAGAAACATCTTCATCTTTATGTTATAACTTTCAAACAATCCTTTGAGATTTTTCTATCTTCAGGCAAACAAGAGTTCAGATATTTCTCTGGGTTCTGAGGCCCCATGTGGGACCCACTGCCCCTAGCAAGCATGTCATAAAAGCTGACTAATTTGCAGTGTGCTGAAATCAGGTGTGTTGGGCTGAAAAATGCAAATATCACAGCTGTAAACTACAACACAGTGTGCAGACTAGCCTTTGCTAAGAAGATAAAATCACTGACAATAAAGATGTGGCAAAGAAATTCAGTGAAACTCCAATATTCGTCTCCATCAATATTGGTCTTTCTGAAATTCTCATCCATTTTTTTTTATTTTTTTATTTGCCCCAAAAAATCAATACTTGTCCCTCATTTGACATGGCCTGTGAGTCAGCTGATCGTCAGTTTATTCAATACAAGCAGTGGCTGAAAGTGTGTGTGTACTAAGTGTTGATGTTATTTTTTTTTTATAAATACAGTAGTGTAACTGACCATGGGTACAGTAATCAGCGTATCAATTTATTTGATGATGATGTGTTTGGACACTTTTAGAAGAAAAGAACAACTGGATAACTTCTTTTAAAAAATTAAGGAAAAAAAACCGATTGCTGATGAATGGTCTAGAAATGCTGATGAATCATCAGGACATCATTCAACACAAGGGACATTACAGCACAGGGGACATTACCCAATATCCTAATGCAGGGTGACTCCCCTTCCAAACAAAATAGTTTTTTTTTTCTTCAAAAAAGTTAGTTTCTTTTCACAATTTTATTTATGCATTTACATTATATTTACATTATCAGGACAAGTAAATTTATGTCATAATTATAAAGTAATAAGTACAGTGTTTAATATAATTAAAATGTATATATTATATATATATATTCCCCCCCCCCCCCCCCCCCCCCCCCCTCCCCCAATATCCAGAAACTATGAGTTATAAACCCTTTGGCTCAGTACTATGGATATCGCAACCCTTCGGCCTTGATTCCACGATAGATACCATAAATTTGGGAGAAATGTAGCTTTTATGCCTTCCCCGCGTGAACCCGGACCACAAGAAGTTCGTCACCCAGTCGCCGCGAAGTCAGGTTTAACCAAATGAGCTAGCGAGCCGGGCAAAATGTATATTAAAATGTATCTGCAATGATTTCTGAGACTCATTTTCAAGTGAATTTATGTGTGTTAAAGAACAGATAGGCGAACTTCGGGCCTGGAAACAGATTACACGATTTTTAGTAATTCCTATGGGAACACACAAACTTTTGATTTAGTACTTTTTAACATTTACCCTCCCTCAGGAATCGATCAATTATGAATATTGGAGTTCCACTGTATTTGACAAAAATGACACTGGATGCAAAATAATTTACCAAAAAATTACATGACCACAAAATGGCTACAACTAATTTAAATTGTTACCGTCGTGAACAGGCAAATGTTGAATAGAACAACTTGAGCTAGAGAAGTGAGACCTGAACCGTTATCACCTTTAAACTGTGACTTGAGACAGGTGGGCCAGCTTAAAAAATAACAACAAAGCAAACAAATTTTAAGTACAAAATACAAAAATTTGCTACTAGTGATAGTGGTAGAAACATCCCACACATGACATCATCCACAATATCCCATATACAGACATCATCCACAACATCCCATATACAGACATCATTCACAATATCCCATATACAGACATCATCCACAATATCCCATATATAGACATCATCCACAATATCCCTTAAACAGACATCATCCACAATATCCCATATACAGACATCATCCACAACATCCCATATACAGACATCATTCACAATATCCCATATACAGACATCATCCACAACATCCCATATACAGACATCATCCACAACATCCCATATACAGACATCATCCACAATATCCCATATATAGACATCATCCACAATATCCATATACAGACAATCATCCACAATACCCATATACAGACATCTCCACAACATCCATTCAATATATATAGACATCATCCACAATATCCTATATATAGACATCATCCACAATATCCCATATACAGACATCATCCACAACATCCCATATACAGACATCATTCACAATATCCCATATACAGACATCATCCACAATATCCCATATATAGACATCATCCACAATATCCCTTAAACAGACATCATCCACAATATCCCTTAAACAGACATCATCCACAATATCCCTTACACAGACATCATCCACAATATCCCTTACACAGACATCATCCACAATATCTCATAAACAGACATCATCCACAATATTCCATATACAGACATCATCCACAATATTCCATATACAGACATCATCCACAATATCCCATATACAGACATCATCCACAATATCCCTTACACAGACATCATCCACAATATCCCATATGCAGACATCATCCACAAAATCGCATATACAGACAACATCCACAATATCCCATATACAGACATCATCCACAATATCCCTTACAGACATCATCCACAATATCCCATATATAGACATCATTCACAATATCCCATATACAGACATCATCCACAATATCCTGTATACAGACATCATCCACAATATCCCATATACAGATATCATCCACAATATCCCATATACAGACATCATCCACAATATCCCGTACACAGACATCATCCACAATATCCCATATACAAACATCATCCACAATATCTCTTACACAGACATCATCCACAACATCCAATACACAAATAGTATAAACAGCCACATACATCTATTTATACAAAACCCACATAAAGCCTCAAGTAAATATATCAGTACTGGCAAGGCTGTTTTCTATAGAAAAACATGTGCCAGTACTCACAATAAAGTATCCAACAAAGATGCCTAAACAAATCTTGCCTAAAAAGGTGCTAGTACTGCATACCACTGCGTACTGCCAAAAAAAAAATGGGAATGTGTGGTTCTTGGGTTGTCAGTGAAGAAGCAGAGCAGCAGTGGATGACTTGTGGGCTGACAGGCCTAACCGCACACTGTAATGATTCTTGAGATACCACTTGTCTTTTTCCTTATAGAAACCTGACCCAAGTCATATGAGGTCTCTGCTGAAATGTGGTGAAGCCATATTTTCCTCACATTCCAAAGGTCGACGGTTCTTTTCATGGACTGCATCAAGTGTTTCACATGGCAATTTTTATGTCGATACTTGGGTGTCGGCATAGGTTGTGCTTCATGTGACATGTCCGGTTGGCAGGGAGACATTTTGTAGACAGCAAGAGGTCAAGATGTATGGGTCAAAGCCTGGTCCTGTGAAATCAATCCACTTGGGTCAGCTTACCTTTCCCTACTCCAGAAAGTGCCTATTGATTTTGTTGTTGTTCAAATGACTGCCAGCTTTCCATGAGATTTTTAACTTTAAAGGCTTAAGCATGGCTGTTTTTGGTTATTTCATAATATCCTATTCCCAGATGACATCAAAGGACAGTCCAACATTTTAGAAGGTGGTAAGACTGGGTTTCCCAGCTTTCTAATGCTTTTAACGATCCCAAAACATCTAGAACTGGCCCTAACCCCAACCCACCTACGTCCCTCGAAAGAGTGCAGCCTAGATCCCAGGACTGCATGCAGCCTAGGTCCCACGACATCATGCAGCCTACCACCCCCTGAAATATTAGACTGTCCCGTGACCTGTGGATTTCTCCTGTTTGGGGTAGGATATTAAGAAAGTAGCCTGTTATTTGTTGTTCACTGACAGGCACTGAGCAACTTATCTACAAGAGAGCTGAGATGCTAGTTCACTGGGTTTACTAAAAGAAAGCGGATATCACATGATGCCAAGATATAAAACACATAACAAGCAAAATCACAAGGAGACAAAATGTCACAACCTGGTGTGTCAACAAGATCAACGCTCAACAAATTTGTGTGGTTTCTGCAAATACAAACACACTCAGAAGAAAATATTGCAGATCAAAACCTGTGTGTGCATCAAATAGATCAAAAAGATGTCATCATCAATCAACAAGACCTTTACAGAACGCCGCTCTCATTACGGCACACCTGAAACTATCTCTGTCTCTAACCAATTTTCCAGCCCTATGTGCTTTCACAGCCAATGCATCTTCAATATCTTGTATCCACCTTTGTGGAGGCCTGCTTGCCATATACTCAAAGGGGATTGGGGGGGGGGGGGGGGGGGGGGGGAAGGTTGAAGTCTTGCAATGTACTCAAGTGGGGGTCTTGCCAAATACTCAAGGGGTAGGGGGGGGGGGGGGGGAAGGTTGAAGTCTTGCAATGTACTCAAATAGGGGTCTTGCCAAATACTCAAGGGGTAGGGGGGGGGGGGGGGGAGGCTGAAGTCTTGCAATGTACTCAAGTGGGGGTCTTACCAAATACTCAAGGGGTGTTGGGGGGGGGGGGGGGGAGGCTGAAGTCTTGCAATGTACTCAAGTGGGGGTCTTGCCAAATACTCAAGGGGTGTTGGGGGGGGGGGGGGGAGGCTGAAGTCTTGCAATATACTCAAGTGGGGGTCTTACCAAATACTCAAGGGGTGTTGGGGGGGGGGGGGGGAGGCTGAAGTCTTGCAATATACTCAAGTGGGGGTCTTACCAAATACTCAAGGGGTGTTGGGGGGGAAGGCTGAAGTCTTGCAATATACTCAAGTGGGGGTCTTACCAAATACTCAAGGGGTAGGGGGGGAAGGCTGAAGTCTTGCAAAGTACTCAAGTGGGGGTCTTGTCATATACTCAAGGGGTTGGGGGGGGGGGGGAGGGGGGGGCTCGACCTGAAACATATTGGAGACCACTGTTCTAGACAGTTAAATGATTTGTTTTTGATTTGCTGTGCCATCTTCCCAATGAAGGTCGGCTACAGTGTATCTACTGCTGCCTTTGTGCAGATTACACAGTGAGGCCCTAATCTTGTCCATGGTGTGACTCTCGTACCAGTGTGTGAAAACCATGACTATCAGTTGCAGAATCAAGCCCAGCATTTTTTAGCTGTTTGATTTTACTAGGCAATTATATGTTCATTAGTTTGCCAATGCAAACAAATATTGAATTAGGAATCATAGCATCACAGCACTCCAGGAAACTCCCATAAGTGTTCCGTCCCCATCTTCAGCAGCAAGCAAAGAGTTCCGGTTCAGATGGTATCAATAACTGTCTATATATCCATTCTGCCTTTTCCTTGGGTGTTGAGTGTCAGCCAGATTCCCTGGTAACTCCCCACAGCGACTTTCTCCTCACACCGTAATGATCTGTTTGTGCCTCTGTACAGTTCACTAGCTCTCAAAGGGCCCTCACAACATCTGGCTTGTAAACATGTTACATCTCACAGATCCAAGACAAGCTGAGTAAATCTGAGTTAGGAAGCGACAGACAGCACAAAACTCTGAATATTCTCATAACCACTCCCTTCCATCTTCAGCAGCCAGCGCAGGTCTCATACAGCTTTCAGTATACAGTGCAGACCACTTAGCCAAATCTCGGATGTGGAGAATTTTGTTGTGAAGAATATTTGTTTATCCCCTGCAGTTTTTCTTGCTTGAATTCTTTATCTAGATAAGATCAATTTCTGATAAGAAGAACACATTTCTTGGGTGTCCGGTGAATTCTCCTTATTAGGTCTGCACTATAAAGCAGCCTGGTCCATGGATGACTAGTGTACAAACAAATTGCATAAAAAAAAAAAGCATCATCTCTAGTCAGTCAACAATGTGGCCAGCTCATCCGTGCTTCTGCTTTAGTTTCCTCAAGCGCTGGAGGTTCTCCAAGGTGACCTTGTCGTTGGGCCGCAGCTCCAGACCCCGCAAGTAGGCCCTCTCTGCCTGCTCATACTTGTTGTTGATGTGCAGCATGGCTCCCAGGTTCATCCAGGCGGCTGGCTCCTGTCGGGGGGAACAGCAAACATTTCTTTAGTGAGAATTACAACAAATATTATCTTGATGAGAATTACAACCGATATTTCTTTGATGAGAATTACAACAAACATTTTTTATGAAAATTATAACAAACATTTCACTAATGAGAATTATAAAAAATATCTCTTTTATGAGAATTTTAAAAAACATTTCTTAAATGAGAATTACAACAAACATTTCTTTGATGAAAACTTCAACAAACATTTCCTAGATGAGAATAACAACACTTATGTCTATGATGAGAATTATGACAAATATTTATCAGACAAGAATTACAACAAACATTTCTTAGATAAGAATCACAACAAACATTTCCTTAATGAGAATAACAACAAATATGTCTATGATGACAATTACAACATTTGAATAACAACAAATATGTCTATGATGACAATTACAACATCTGAATAACAAAAAATATGTCTATGATGACAATTACAACATTTGAATAACAACAAATATGTCTATGATGACAATTACAACATTTGTATAACAACAAATATGTATATGATGACAATTACAACATTTGAATAACAACAAATATGTCTATGATGACAATTACAACATTTGAATAACAACAAATATGTCTATGATGACAATTAAAACATCTGAATAACAAAAAATATGTCTATGATGACAATTACAACATTTGAATAACAACAAATATGTCTATGATGACAATTACAACATTTGAATAACAACAAATATGTCTATAATGACAATTACAACATCTGAATAACAACAAATATGTCTATGATGACAATTACAACATTTGAATAACAACAAATATGTCTATGATGACAATTACAACATTTGTATAACAACAAATATGTCTATGATGACAATTACAACATTTGAATAACAACAAATATGTCTATGATGACAATTACAACATTTGAATAACAACAAATATGTCTATGATGACAATTACAACACCTGAATAACAACAAATATGTCTATGATGACAATTACAACAAACATTTCTTAGACAAGAATTATCACAAACATTTCTTTGATGAGAATTAACATGAACTTTGTTTGATGAGAATAACAACAAGCCAGGGTTATCTCACAGAGATTATGAGTGATAGGATTTCATGTCACTGTCAAAGCTGAGCAAGTTAATTACCTTGAAGACAGAATTCCATGTGTGGACTTGCCCAATGTGTCGTGAGGATAATAGGTCGATTAACTAAATAACTTATTAATGAAATATCTCTCCATGTGGGTTCTAGTCCCCATTATGGGTTGAAAAGAACATACTCCCTGCACCCTCAACAAGCAAGTCCTAAAAGGGCGCCCAAATTGGGGGAATTTCTAATGCAGTTGTAGTGCATGTGCCTGAAAGGCAAGGAACCACAAATCTGCATATAATTAAACCAGATTTGTCAAATGGATGTGCACACAAAACTAAATTTCTGGAGCGAGGCTAAAGTTCAGAAGTGGGTGAACGACCAGAACTACCCGCTGGAGTTTGCAGCCGGTGATTGCTAGGAAGAAGAAGAAGAGGAGGAGGAGGAGGACATTAACATGAAATCACTGAGAGAAATATATTTAGACTAAGGAAGAAAAAGAGTTCCTTTCCTAGAGGGCTGCTGCTAATCGGAGACAACCATCAAAAATAAGATCCCCCGGAAAAAATAAACTTAAACACTTTCCATGCAGTGAAGTCAACACTACCAGACGGACATGTCCCACAAATCACAGACAGACATGTCCCACAAATCACAGACAGACAAGTCCCCCAAATCATAGACAGACATGTCCCACAAATCACAGACAGACATGTCCGACAAATCACAGACAGACACCGAATGGTCAACAAAAAGAAGAAATTTTTACATTTGGTTTCAACTTGGTAGCAGCAATGTACATCTCCTCAGCTTTTGCTTTTTCTGGGCATCTCTGAAATGCATCAAAAATCATATGTGATTGTATACATCTACCTACATACTGGTCAAGCTACAGAATCACATAGCAGGATTTTCACTTACTCTGGCAACCTGACAAGACTGCTGAAGGTTGTGGTGCTTAGCCCGGTTGATATGGAAAGCAATCGGAGATTACAGCATTTTATATACTATATATATATATTTATATATACATACATATATATATATATATATATATATATTTATATATCTATATATCCCTAGCAACTCTAAATGGAAGCCAAATTGGCTCACAAACAGCATACTGTCCCAAAAGCTGAGGTATTTTGGCCATGCTAAACACCATGGTGGTATGGAGAGAGCGGTGATGGAGGATACAGTTACAAGAAAGGCAGATGCAGGCCTTTGCAAAGGTGGATACAAGACATTCAAGAAGCACTGGCTATAAAAACACACAGAGCTGGAGAACTGCCCAGAGCAGTGTTTCCCAAACTTTTCTTATGTCGCTGCGCCTTTTTTCAAATAAAATTTGTACACTGCGCCCTAACCTAAGTAAAAGTATGACTATTCGTATGTAAGAGATCAAAACAAATAAAACTCATGTATCTACGAATATTTCAAGGCACCCCTGTGAAAAAGTTGCGGTTCCCCAGGGCACCTCGGCAGACAGTTTGGAAATCACTGGTCTAGAGACAGAGAGACCTTCAGGTGTGCCGCGATGAAAGCAACATTCTGTAAAGGACCTGTTGATGACGATGCTTGTCAAGATTGCCAGCATCATTCTCCTGAGACCACAATGATCTTTGTGAACCTCTGCACTGTTCACATGCTCACAAAGGACTCTCACATCTAGTTTGTCATGCATCAATTCACGGTGCAGAACCAGCCAGTCTATCCTCCTGTTCATTCCCCAACACACAGACAAATTGACAATCTTTACAGAAGCTTGCCCTTCCAGGATCACATAGAGGAGGTGGTGACAAGGGCCCACAAAGGTCTTGACGCACTACAGATTATGGCAGTAATGGACATGGAGCAGAGAATGCTGTTAACACTTTACCAGCACTGAATCATCTCAGTGACTGATTATGGATCGAAATTACTCACTGTCTCGGAGAGTCAGGTAGTGAACCTAGAGTGCATATAGAATGAAGCTATGCGGGTGATCCTAGGATGTACAAGAGACACCCTGGTTGTGTGCATGCAAAACATCCTTGCATTGCCGACTACTGCAGATAGGCTAAAGGTGCTGCAGGCTGTCACACCTCAGAGTAGCTGCAGACAAAGAACACTCTCTGTATGAGGCTTTGGATGGCTCAAGCAGAAGACACGAAAAGACAAGTATGCATTCTTGAGAACATTAGGTGAGGAGAGGAGTGGGTCAGAGTATGAGAGGAAAAGTTTGACCTGTGCAAGGTCATGATCACATTGGGCCGGAAGTGCAGAGAGTGGCCAGAAGGGATTACGAAGGTGGAAGTCTAATAGTTGATTCACGACAATTCTTGTCTGGATGATCTGATTATCTATACAGATAGTTTGGTGTTTAGAGGGAAGAGAAGTGCCTAGGGGTTCGCAGCGAAAGCCAATAGAAAATCTTTACTACAGGACAGCCTAGCATACGATACCACAATATCTAGCATGAGCTTGGAGGTGGAGGCGGTCAGTGCAGCTTTCTGGTGGCTAGAGAACAATATGCATACACATGTTGGAATTGTAACACTCTGAAAGCAGGCTGAGAAAGGTGAAGACAGAGTTGCTTCAAGTATAGAGTGGCAAGGTTCACTTGGAAGGTTACGGGTAGTGAGCATACTTTGGATCTTTTCTCCAGGTATGCCGGCGATGTGGGGAATAAACAGGCAGACAGAATAGCTGGATCTGCACCACTGGGTGGTAAACTGATACTTGACAAGGTAGATGTGGTCAGGGGCCCTTTGGGAACAAGTAATAAAGTCAGAAAAAAACCTGGATTATTATGGCTTGGAGAGAATGATGCACCTAGGTGTGACCAAAGGGTATGGACAGCTCACTACACTCAGAGGAAAGGCAAGACAACATATAACCAAACTATGACCGGTACCATTAGTACTGAAAATGGGGACAGAGCGCAGATGGGAATGTCCCAAATGCTGTGATGTCAGTTCTTGACACAACTCATTCCCCAACATACCTGGAGAAAATATCCAAAAGACGCTAACTACCCGAGACTTCTGAAGCAATGCTTGCCAACCTGCACCCAGCATTACTGTTTCCGGTCAAAATGGACACTAGGCATGGCCACTGTTTTGAGCCGTGGCAAATGTTTTGCTTCTGCCAGGCGGTGGCCGTTGCATTTTTGCTCTATTTATAGACTGAAACGAATTAGTTTCGTTGCCCAGCTTCTGAGTTGAGTGCATGGCGCGACACTGTAAGCTGCGGATTTGGAATGTTTTTTGACTATGATCAACGGGGTGGTTTTAAATGTAGATTCAGAAAATGGCACGATGTGGGTTGTCGCAATATTGGTGGTGCCATTATGTGATTAAAATTGATGTGCAACTGCTGATCTGTTAGTGACTTCTGCATTACTAGTGCTACCATCCATGATGGACTGCATTTCTAATGTCGGACTGTTTGTCAAAGCACTTCGGATGGCTACCATATGCTTTTAATACGTGTGTATGCTAGTGCATATGCTGAGACAGCAGTCTATCAATCTTTCCACAAGGGACTGTGATAAACATTCTGTGTGTTTTTCATTGGCACAGGAGCGGAGCAACTATGGGGTCACCCGTTTGATATGAAGCTGAAACTAAGATTACCAGATCATCAGATACCTGTCTCCACTTTTCTCAACATGCTCTGTGATAGGTGATGTGGTCAATATCAAAATGACCACTTTTATTTCCCTAGGTACTTCCTGGTACCCATTTATAGGTTAAGTCCACCTGGGAGCCCAAGTCTGTTGTAAACATCTGTCTCAATAAGAATTCAAACCTACCTTTCAGTACAATATGTTGTAGTAACCTTTCAGGACCTTAAAGGTGAGTGTATATACTTGCCAATTTTGTGATTCTCAAGAACAAGAGTTCTATTACTGTTGTGAGCTGTTAATCATTGCGATCATAAATGTTTTCTCATCACACAACATACAGTTGTGGTATTTCAAGGGGCATAACATAGTGTCCTGGATACATGACGAGACAGAAGTGGTCAAGGAATTTGGGAACAAGCAACAGAATCAGTTGAGACAGAAGATTATTATGGCCTGGAGAGAATGAGGCATCTGGGTGTAACCAGAGGGTCTGGCTGGCTCACTTCACTCAGAGGAAAGGCAAGACAGACATATAACCAGATTGTGACCGGTACCATAAGTACTGGAACTCTGCAATGGCTGCTGAAGATGAGGATAGATCATGCATGGGAATGTCCCAAGTGCTGTGATATCAATTCTTGACTCAACTCAACAGCATAGTTTAATCACAACTATACAACTGTCCAGTGAAAGCTGTTCTTGACCATAACTGTTAGTTAATTGGCTAGTTAGTTAGTTAGCCAGTCAGTAAGCTAGTTAGTTAGTTTGCTAGCTAGCTAGTTAATAGGCGACTCAGTTTTTAGTTAGCCAGTTGCTCACTTAGCCAGCCAGTTAGCGTTAGCTAGCTAGTTAGTTAGTTAGTTGGCTGGTTGGTTTTTTTGGGTTAGGTTAGTCAGTCAGTCAGTCAGTCTGTCAGTTTAAGTCAGTCTGTCAGTCAGTCTGTCAGTGAGTGAGTCAGTCAGTCAGTGAGTCAGTCGACAGATCATCCTCAGTGAATATCAAACCATTCAGTCCATACGTGCATAGCCCCCTCCTCAGTTAATCCCACAGCCTGCTGCGGCCGACAACACCAGTCCTCTTGACTTCTTCTTCTTCTTTGACTTTCTTTTTTGATCATCCAGTACAAGGGTCCTGTTACCATCATTTTTTAACAGCAGTATGAGAGTTACACCGTGGAAAAAAATAGGGCCTCGTTATGTAATTTTCCAAAAGACAGCTGTGGGATACACTGTAGCCAACCTTAATTCTGGAGAAAGCACATAATTTTTTTTCTTCTTCTCAGTATTAACAAATATAGCTCAACTCTTTGAGCACCAACTAACTCACCAGAACCATCACTGCAAAGACTTCAGAAGCTTTTTCTTCTGTCGAATTTGCCCTTAAAACCCGATGTGTCATTGGTGTGAAAAATGTGCGTTACTTTTTATAAGCTTTTATTAAGGTCGTTTTGTGGTTTTGTTTGCTGGTTTGTCTGGTATAACTTGTCTTTTTTATTTTTTTTTATTTTATTTGAAATTCCGTAAAATAATTAGGGATAACAAAACATGAGGGTCACATAGCTAGACTCTACATACCTATATGCACTAGCAGCATTGTAAACAACATCAAAGTCTTGGCTCATGTGAGGCAGGATTCTCTCAAAGATGTTAACAGCATCATCAAATCTCTTCATAGAGGCAAACAGCTGGGCTAGGGATCAAGTAGAATCAACAAGGTCAAGTCACAAGACGGGTTATAAATAGAAGCAGAAACAAGATCCTGTACTGATCAGATAGCCACATTACATATTATAATAGAGCAAAGCATTGAACTGAACTCACCACTTTACATTGGATTTATAGACTATGAAAAAGCATTTGACAGCATAGATAGGGAATTTCTCTGGAAATTGATGGGGCACTATGGAATCCCACAGAAAATTATCAACTTAGTAAAGGCAACATATAAAGACATGAAATGTCGAGTTCTTCATGAGGGAAAGCTAACAGATGCATTTGAAATAAAAACAGGTGTGCAACAGGGATGTCTTTTGTCACCTCTCTTATTTTTACTGGCTATAGACTGGACTATGAAAACAGTAACTGCTAACACTAAGAATGGAATTCAGTGGACCCCTACAAAACAGCTTGATGATCTGGACTTCGCTGATGATATTGCTCTTCTGTCCCATTCACAGAATCAGATGCAAGATAAATTAAATATACTTAATGCGAGATCACAGCAGCTTGGTCTGAAAATCCATAAAGGAAAGACAAAGATAATGAGAATAAATCAGGCAAATAGTAATGTTGTTTCTCTTAATGGCACCCCACTCCAAGATGTGGAGTCGTACACCTATTTAGGCAGTAATGTAGATAAAGATGGAGGAACTGATAGAGATTTTAAAATAAGAATACAAAAGGCAAGAGGGGCTTTCATAGCACTAGGGAATTTGTGGAGGTCAAAAGAAATTAAAAGAAATACTAAACTAAAAATTTTTAATTCTAATGTCAAATCAGTACTATTGTATGGGGCGGAAACATGGAGAACAACCAAGGCAATTACTAATAAATTACAGACATTCATTAACTAGTGCCTGCGCAGAATAGAGGGAATAAAATGGAATGATAGAATAACTAATGTAGAACTTTGGGAGAGAACTAAACAGGCTCCAGTGGATCAGGAAGTGAGGAAAAGACGCTGGCGTTGGATAGGGCACACACTGAGAAAACAGGAGAACAGCATTACTAGAATGTCTTTGCATTGGAACCCACAGGGGCATAGGAATAAAGGAAGGCCAAAAAACACATGGAGAAGAGAGCTGGAGAACGAGGTTAGAAAGACTGGGAGGACATGGGGAGAGCTCCATGCAATGGCGAAGGATAGAACGACTTGGTGTGAGTTGGTTGAGGGCCTATGCTCCATTGGGGGATAGAAAGGCAGAAGAAGAAGAAGAAACAAGGTCATGGTTTCCTGGGTAGTGAAAAAAAAGAAAAAGCTGCCGAAGATGATGCATACATTGGTCCCATGTCTCTCAGGCAGATATGACTTTCAAGGAAACATCCCTGGTTAGTCCTTTCATAACATGCTTGTTAAGGTAGGGGGTGGGCAGGGTGAGTGGGGTCTATTGCTACCCCCCCCCCCCCCCACACCCTCCAAATAAGGCCCAGAACCAACACAGGAAAATGATGATGATGATGAGGGAGGTGGTGGTTGAGATGATGATGATGATGGAGGTGGCAGCTGAGATGATGATGATGAGAGAGGTAGTGTTTGAGATGATGATGATGATGAGAGAGGTCGTGGTTGAGATGATGAGGTTAGGGAGGTGGGGTTGAAATGATGATGTTGAGGGAGGCGGTGGTTGAGATGATGATGATGAGAGAGGTGGTGGAGATGATGATGATGAGAGAGGTAGCAGCTGAGATGATGATGATGAGAGAGGTGGTGGTTGATATGATGATGATGAGAGAGGTGGTGGTTGAGATGATGATGATGAGAGAGGTGGTGGTTAATGATGATGAGAGTGGTGGTGTTTGAGATGATGATGAGAGAGGTGGTGTTTGAGATGATGATGATGAGGGAGGTGGCAGCTGAGATGATGATGATGAGAGAGGTGGTGGTTGATATGATGATGATGAGAGAGGTGGTGTTTGAGATGATGATGATGAGGGAGGTGGCAGCTGAGATGATGATGAGAGAGGTGGTGTTTGAGATGATGATGATGAGAGAGGTGGTGTTTGAGATGATGATGATGAGAGAGGTGGTGTTTGAGATGATGATGATGAGAGAGGTGGTGTTTGAGATGATGAGGTTAGGGAGGTGGGGTTGAAATGATGATGATGAGGGAGGCGGCGGTTGAGATGATGATGATGAGGAAGGTGTGGTTAAGATGATGATGATGATGAGAGAGGTGGTGTTTGAGATGATGATGATGAGAGAGGTGGTGTTTGAGATGATGATGATGAGAGAGGTGGTGTTTGAGATGATGATGATGATGAGAGAGGTCATGGTTGAGATGATGATGATGATGATGATTAGGGAGGTGGTGGTTGAAATGATAGGTGGTGGTTGAGATGATAGGTGGTGGTTGAGATGATGATGATGATGATGATGATGAGGGAGGTGGTGGTTGAGATGATGATGATGAGGGAGGTGGTGGTTGAGATGATGATGATGACGGAGGTGGTGGTTGAGATGATGATGATGATGATGAGGGAGGTGGTGGTTGAGATGATGATGATGAGGGAGGTGGTGGTTGAGATGATGATGATGAGGGAGGTGGTGGTTGAGATGATGATGATGAGGGAGGTGGTGGTTGAGATGATGATGATGAGGGAGGTGGTGGTTGAGATGATGATGATGAGGGAGGTGGTGGTTGAGATGATAAAGAATTTGATGATGACATGATGGTGGATATAATGCTCAGCTCTTCTCTCTAGCTCATGTCCATGAACATTCTAGTAGAATAAACATTCTCTTGGTGATTGCTTACCTCTATGGAAGTCTACAGTGAGATCTGAGGGGTTCTGCTCCTTTGCTCTATCTAACCATTTTTCAGCTTCTTCAAATAAATTCTGCAGACAGAGCAGCAAAGAATGAACAAACCAGCAAAAATGAACAAATATGATGCCTGAAGTCTTTAACACATCTCCTTTCATGATTCTTGTTGATTCTAATTCATCGCCCAGCCCAACTGCATGCTTCTATTAAGAGATTTAATGTGCATGTCTTCTTCCTACCATATTCTTCTTCTTAGTGTTAACCGGCTGTAACGAACACATAAAGTTATAGTTGCTCTTCCAGTTTTGAACTTTGGTCCTGTTCCAGAACTTGTATTTTGCAAATCATATTTATTTATGTGCAGACCTCACCTCTCGGGCAGATGTACTCTAACTTCCACTTTTGTAGCCACATAAATCTAATCATTCATTATTTCACCTGCCCGCAACCCCATGACAGCTCATCTAATGATGACTGCACACGCAATCAAGTGACTGTGGCATTTAAGAATTGGTGGTCACATATTATTATTATATAACTGTAGGCTTAAGGAGCCTGAATCTCATGTCTGGGGGAACAAACCAGTAACTATCTATCCAATATATGGTTGTGAATCCTGCACATTTAATAAACAGACCAAACAATTTCTTGAGGCTTCAGAGATGACTGCACAAGCAATCAAGTGATTGTGGCATTGAAGAATTGATGGTCACATAACTGTAGGCCTTAGGAGCCTGACTCTCATGTCTGGAAAAAAAAACAGTTAACTAATATATGGTTGTGAATCCTGCACATTTAATAAACAGACCAAACAATTTCTTGAGGCTTCAGAGATGACTGCACAAGCAATCAAGTGATTGTGGCATTGAAGAATTGATGGTCACATAACTGTAGGCCTAAGGAGCCTGAATCTCATGTCTGGAAAAAAAAACAGTTAACTAATATATGGTTGTGAATCCTGCACATTTAATAAACAGACCAAACAATTTCTTGAGGCTTCAGAAAGAGATGAGGACTCGAAGACAACTTATCACAAACGTCAGTAGAAGACAGTCATTATCTTTTGGTCATGTTATGAGAAGAAGAAAACTAGAACATGTGGTTATCACTGGAAAGATCTGTGGAAAAATGAGACAGAGGAAGACAGCAAGAGAAGATTTTTGACAGCCTTTCATCAAGGCATGGAGAGGTGTCCGAACACAAACTGATACAGGCTATGGAAGAGCGTAGATTGTGGAGAGGCAGGACTGCCCGTGCCCATCAACAAAACACTTGTGCTCAACATTCAGGACAAAGTGCTGCTAAGTGCAGCATACTCCCTGAACAAGAGGGTCAAGACTACTGACCTTTGCCTGGTACAGTTTCGACATGGTCAGGTAGGCAGGAAGATGATCGGGCTTGACCTTCAATGCTTCTCTATACCATTTTTCAGCTTCGGCCAACTGATCCAGTTTGAAATAAACTTCACCTGGGAGATGAAAAAAGATGTGAAATTATGTAACTTAATTGTCTTTAATCCTGTTGCCCTGAGAAAACCATACTGGACGTTCATTCGACAATGAATTTCTACAGGTTTCATTCGTCCACTTATTTTTTTTTTTTAAATAATAACAGAACCCCACTCCTCTTTGGTGATTATCAAAATTGGGCTGATCTGATTATTCATCCACTCATGGACTTTAGTTTTGATCCACAACCTGAGTTTACCTTTAGCATGCACAACCATTTTACAGATATGGCTTATTTGCATGCAGACTGTTGGTTCCGTGCCTACCAGGGAGATGCAGCAGTCAACAAAGAATTCCAATTCCAATGGGACCAGGAGCAGTTCTATCATCTGTCTGTCTCCCCTTTCCTCTCAGTGTTGGGTGTCCTCTGATAAGATCCTCTGTAAGTCCTTGTTGCACCATTCTCTCCAGGTCATAATGATCTATCTACGCCCCCATACTTGCTCCCTAAGTGCCTTGACCACATGTAGCTTGTCATGCATAAATTCACTGCCAGCTGGTGCTGAACCAGCCATTCTATCTGCATATTTGTGGTGTGGTCGACTGAACATGTGGGAGCCGCTGTGGTGTAGCGGCTAGACACTTAACCTGCAGATCTGAAAGTTGTGGGTTCAGGTCCTGACAGAGCCAGGCTTTTTCTTTTCCAATATTCAAAAATGGCTTCAAGGTCGACCCAGCCATAAATGGGTACTAGGTAAAGTCCTGGGAAATAAAGGCAGTCCGCATTATGTTGACAATATCACCTACAAAGTGCCTATTGGTTTATACAATATAGGCCTAGCTCTATATGCTCAACACACCTCAAGATGTGGAAAAGAGTTCTTTTACGTTACTTCCCTTACTGAAGATGAAGAAGCCCAAAAAGAGTATTTTATGGGGAGCTCCAGCAAGGGAAGAGGTCCCAGGGAGGACAGAAAAAGGGCTATAAGGACACTCTTAAGGCTGATCTCAATTCTTTTGGGTCGCTGCTGCAGAAACCTCTTTGGATGGAGTACATCTGTCAGACATGGTGCATCAGCCTGCGGATGTTGCACAGGCAAAGAAACGGAGGCAGACTAGAAAGAACTGTATTGCTAATCCCACAATTACTATGGCTTTCACCTTTTGTTCACACTGCTCAAGAACTTTCCAGGTTCATATTGGACTAATCAGCCACCTTTGTACTCATGATCACTGATCATTGATACCCTGAATGAAAAGTGGTCTTCATCATTTGTGATGGATGAACAACAAAAATGAGTGATGTGCTGAACTGAGTGCATGATATATGAGTGATGGATAAATGAGTGATGTACTGACCTGAGTGTATGATATATGAGTGATGGATAAATGAGTGATGTACTGAACTGAGTGCGTGATATATGAGTGATGGATAAATGAGTGATGTACTGAACTGAGTGCGTGACATATGAGTGATGTGCTGAACTAAGTGCGTGACATATGAGTGATGTGCTGAGTGTGTGACATATGAGTGATGTGCTGAACTGAATGTATGACATATGAGTGATGTGCTGAGTGTGTGACATATGAGTGATGTGCTGAGTGTGTGACATATGAGTGATGTGCTGAGTGTGTGACATATGAGTGATGTGCTGAGTGTGTGACATATGAGTGATGTGCTGAGTGTGCGACATATGAGTGATGTGCTGAACTAAGTGCGTGACATATGAGTGATGTGCTGAACTAAGTGCGTGACATATGAGTGATGTGCTGAGTGTGTGACATATGAGTGATGTGCTGAACTGAATGTATGACATATGAGTGATGTGCTGAACTAAGTGCGTGACATATGAGTGATGTGCTGAACTAAGTGCGTGACATATGAGTGATGTGCTGAGTGTGTGACATATGAGTGATGTGCTGAACTGAATGTATGACATATGAGTGATGTGCTGAACTGAATGTGTGACATATGAGTGATGTGCTGAACTGAATGTGTGATATGTGAGTGATGTGCTGAACTGAATGTGTGATTTGTGAGTGATGTGTTGAACTGAATGTGTATGAGTGGTGTGCTGAACGTAATGTGTGATACAGAGATACATGGTGACACCCACCAATCATGTTGTAGATGCTCTGAGGAGAGTAGTGGTCTGGTCGCTTCTGTAGAGCTTTGTTAAATATTTCCAATGCTTCCTGCAGAGAAATTTCAGAACAGACAATCAGATCAGCTAGATCCTATTAATTCAAATAATTCAGACACAAACCCATACATTCCACAATTTACAGTCAGGCAGTTTTCCCTGCAGCTCTTTAGATGTATTTCTCCAGAGTTATAGCAACACATAATGAGTCAAAACAATGCACAAATTCCATTCTCTTTATGTATAATCAGTGGCGGTTAGAAACCACAGCAATGACCGCTATCATCTTGCCCCTGGAAGACGACGGTGAATCGGCAACACTCATTATACTACAAGAGCTTTAGGTCAAAAGAGGTGTTGTCAAACATGAACAGTATACAGGTAGTCAAAGAAGAATAGTAAACCAACACAGAACTGGTGTTGTCAGTTGCTACACACTGAGGGATGAACTTAAGATGGGATCGCAGCGCTTATGGATTTAGCTGATGTGCAATGAGGGTAATCTGTCGATTAACCAACTAACATAAAGAAGAAAGAAAAAGACTAAATTCCACCGAAATACAAATGTTCTCTCTCAATAAATTGTTGTCCAATCGCTGGTAGTTTTTCATAGTCACCTGATCTACTAGGATCACATCATATTAATCCTTTTCCCTCGAGAAGCAGGAAAAACCAATACTTCCTGTTGGGTTCAGTTCCAAGTAAATGTTATTTTTTCTAACCTGCCTGTAATGGTCTGTTTTTGAGATGTACAGTTAATCTTACTGGCTGAGTTTGCACCTGTGCAAATGTGTAGAAGGTCAGGATATGAAGACATTAGCTAAAAATAGCATTTTGGGAATTTCCTTTAAGCTAAATGGCTTTTTAAAGTCAATGACTTTACATTTTCTCATAAACCTCAGTGGTAGAGGTCATGGCATGAGTCACCCGATACATGTGTGGGGGATGTATTCCATCTAATGCTTCACCCAGTTCGTGTTTACTGATCATCTCTTTCATATACCTTTATGTATTTGAATTCTTTTAAACAAATTTTAATTTCAAATATATTTCTATTGCTTTTAAAATGTTGATAAATACATAAATGCAAAAATATTAGTAACCTATGTAAAAACTGTTGTTTTTACATAATTTTTTCAGGAATTTTAACAGGGTCATGACCTATTTTTATCAAGAGTTCCTGGGGTGAAAGGGGTTAACATCATACACATATCAAGCATTCAAACCTACAACAGTTAGTTGCAGCTGTAAGGGATTGTTCGTTTGCTGTCATAAGGCTTGATCTAAGAAATGCTTCAAAATGAAATGAAATTAACCTTTAGTTTCAAAATAAATGATACTTTATCAACATTCTCGTCTTTTGTGTGTGTGTATTTTGTCTATATTCTGCTTTGTGCCACAAGGTGTCACAAGTTAACATATGATTGGTATCTGAACTAGCCCCTACTTGGTTACCCAGTATGCTGTGATGCTGTGGAGTCTCAAGGTATCACTGACTCCTTCCATCCATCTTCTTCTTGATCATCCCCTACCTTCTGGCATCTCTACTTTCCTGTTGTACACTCCCGTTGCTGGCATCTCTACTTTCCTGTTGTACACTCCCGTTGCTGGCATCTCTACTTTCCTGTTGTACACTCCCGTTGCTACTCACTCCTCTACTTTCCTGTTGTACACTCCCGTTGCTGGCATCTCTACTTTCCTGTTGTACACTCTCGTTGCTGGCATCTCTACTTTCCTGTTGTACACTCCCGTTGCTGGCATCTCTACTTTCCTGTTGTACACCCCCGTTGCTGGCATCTCTACTTTCCTGTTGTACACTCCCGTTGCTGGCATCTCTACTTTCCTGTTGTACACTCCCGTTGCTGGCATCTCTACTTTCCTGTTGTACACCCCGTTGCTGGCACTCTACTTTCCTGTTGTTGCTGGCTGGCATCTCTACTTTCCTGTTGTACACTCCCGTTGCTGGCATCTCTACTTCCTGTTGTACACTCCCCGTTGCTGGCATCTCTACTTTCCTGTTGTACACTACTTTCGTTGCTGGCATCTCTACTTTCCTGTTGTACACTCCCGTTGCTGGCATCTCTACTTTCCTGTTGTACACTCCCCCGTTGCTGGCATCTCTACTTTCCTGTTGTACACCCCCGTTTTCTGGCATCTCTACTTTTTCTGTTGTACACCCCCGTTGCTGGCATCTCTACTTTCCTGTTGTACACTCCCGTTGCTGGCATCTCTACTTTCCTGTTGTACACCCCCGTTGTGGCTCTCTACTTTCCTGTTGTACACTCCCGTTGCTGGCATCTCTACTTTCCTGTTGTACACTCCCGTTGCTGGTTGTACACTCTTGCTACTTTCTACTTTCCTGTTGTACACTCCCGTTGCTGGCATCTCTACTTTCCTGTTGTACACTCCCATTGCTGGCATCTCTACTTTCCTGTTGTACACTCCGTTGCTGGCATCGTTTTCCTGCTGCTGGCATCTCTACTTTCCTGTTGTACACTCCCATTGCTGGCATCTCTACTTTCCTGTTGTACACTCCCATTGCTGGCATCTCTACTTTCATGTTGCACACTCCCATTGCTGGCATCTCTACTTTCATCTGTTGTACACTCTACTTTCCGTTGCTGGCATCTCTACTTTCCTGTTGTACACCCCCGTTGTGGCATCTCTACTTTCCTGTTGCACACTCCCGTCTGGCATCTACTTTCCTGTTGTACACCCCCGTTGCTGGCATCTCTACTTTCCTGTTGTACACTCCCGTTGCTGGCATCTCTACTTTCCTGTTGTACACTCCCGTTGCTGGCATCTCTACTTTCCTGTTGTACACCCCCGTTGCTGGCATCTCTACTTTCCTGTTGCACACCCCCGTTGCTGGCACACTTTCCTGTTGTACACCCCGTTGCTGGCATCTCTACTTTCCTGTTGTACACTCCCGTTGCTGGCATCTCTACTTTCATCTCTACTTTCCTGTTGTACACCCCCGTTGCTGGCATCTCTACTTTCCTGTTGTACTTGCTGGCATCTCTACTTTCCTGTTGTACACTCCCGTTGCTGGCATCTCTACTTTCCTGTTGTACACTCCCGTTGCTGGCATCTCTACTTTCCTGTTGTACACTCCCGTTGCTGGCATCTCTACTTTCCTGTTGTACACCCCGTTGCTGGCATCTCTACTTTCCTGTTGTACACCCCGTTGCTGGCATCTCTACTTTCCTGTTGTACACTCCCGTTGCTGGCATCTCTACTTTCCTGTTGTACACCCCCGTTGCTGGCATCTCTACTTTCCTGTTGCACACTCCCGTTGCTGGCATCTCTACTTTCCTGTTGTACACTCCCGTTGCTGGCATCTCTACTTTCCTGTTGTACACCCCCGTTGCTGGCATCTCTACTTTCCTGTTGTACACTCCCGTTGCTGGCATCTCTACTTTCCTGTTGTACACCCCCGTTGCTGGCATCTCTACTTTCCTGTTGTACACCCCCGTTGCTGGCATCTCTACTTTCCTGTTGTACACCCCCGTTGCTGGCATCTCTACTTTCCTGTTGTACACCCCCGTTGCTGGCATCTCTACTTTCCTGTTGTACACCCCCGTTGCTGGCATCTCTACTTTCTGTTGTACACTGCTGCTTTCTTGCTGGCATCTCTACCTTCCTGTTGTACACTCCCGTTGCTGGCATCTCTACTTTCCTGTTGTACACCCCCGTTGCTGGCATCTCTACTTTCCTGTTGTACACCCCCGTTGCTGGCATCTCTACTTTCCTGTTGTACACCCCCGTTGCTGGCATCACTGAATTCTTTACATGCTCAAAGCATTTCAGTCTTTGTCTTCAAACCAATTTAAATTCTAGGTATTGTTCCGACAGTTCTTCTTCTTCTTCTTCTTCTTTTTCTTCTGCTTTTTTATCCCCCAATGGAGCATAGGCCCTCAACCAACTCACGCCAAGTCGTTCTATCCTTCGCCATTACATGGAGCTCTCCCCATGTACTCCCAATCTTTCTAGCCTCATTCTCCAGCTCTCTTCTCCATGTGTTTTTTGGCCTTCCTTTATTCCTATGCCCCTGTGGGTTCCAATGCAAAGACATTCTAGTTATGCTGTTCTCCTGTTTTCATGGTTGGTTGGTTTTTGTGGCTATGGTTTTTACAGGATGAGGTAGCCAACCTCACGCCCAACCCTACCTTTAGTCGCCTCTTACGACATGCCTGGTAGGGTGCAGTGTCACTATTCTTTGCTTCCCGTGAGGGCCCCTTAGTGTATCTAAAAACTGTCAAAATTGCCTTTATTACCACTTTTGCGGTTTAGGTAGGGGAATCTTTGAATCTGAGGATTTACAGCCGCATGGCTAGTGCTGTCACCACGACTGTGCAGGTGAGGATTTTATTTGCCCCCAACAGAAAAAATCCCCATCCTTACCGAGGATTCGAACCTGGGCCTCCTGCTTGAGACAAAATGTTCCAACCATTCGGCCAGCCACTCCTTAGTGTGTCAACATTATTATAAAATAAACAATAAAATGTCTGGTTTCAGCACAAATGATTCTGTAAAAACATGAAATAACAAACAAGCCAAGATAAGGTGTGAGACAAGATAAAGATACCTGCAGCCTGTCCTCGTCCATTAGCAGTCTGCCCTGGTTGAACAGGCAGGAGATTTTAGTTCCGTCATGCAGCCTGGGATCCTTCAACCCTGAGGTGTCGAGGTCAGCACAATGGCTGTAGATCTAGATGGGCCAAAATGAAACCTTTAGCTGAACGCACATAAAAAACATATTCTACAATAAAGACAGGTCACAGAAATGACCACTGCACCAACCAACCAGCAAGATAAACAACTATCTACCTAACCTATCAACCAGCATTTCTGGTCCAATATTGTGGACAGGCAGATGGACCATAAAGCCATGCATGTATGTGGACTGAAAGTGCATTGTTCCAATGCTCAGCTAATGGGCTGGGCATATGGTGCAACACAGTGAGATGTGAAGTTAGTCTTGAATGCTTTTTTTGAGTAGCGTTTGTACTGTCATGCTTTTTGAGTGTGATTTGTGTTATCAACAGCAAGTTCAGAAAATGGTGACTGCCTGCTGCCATAGAACTGGTGTTGCCTTGTGCAATACTACACATGCAATTACTGATTTCTTGAAACTACTGCTTCATGGATGACGAACTGAAACTCTTGTGAGGAACCAATTGTGTCAGCACTTCTGATAGCTGGCTTATGCATTTAATGCATGTGTATTCTACTGGTAGTGCCAGTACTGCAGTCTGTTTCAATGTCTTCACAAGGGACAGAGATGCAAGTTTTGTGTAGTTTTAGCTGGCACAGGAGCAGAGCAACTAAGTGGTGATCCATTTGCCATTAAGTTGGAACTGTGACTGACTGCCTCAACCAAGATTACCATCTGCATAATCAAATAAACAGGAGGTCAGACATCCACTAAGTCAAGGAATCAACCAACAAGACAGATTACCATCTACCTAATCAATTAAACTGGAGGTCAGGCATCCACCAAGTCAAGGAATCAACCAACAAGACAGATTACCATCTACCTAATCAATTAAACTGGAGGTCAGGCATCCACCAAGTCAAGGAATCAACCAACAAGACTCATTACCATCTACCTAATCAATTAAACTGGAGGTCAGGCATCCACCAAGTCAAGGAATCAACCAACAAGACAGATTACCATCTACCTAATCAATTAAACTGGAGGTCAGGCATCCACCAAGTCAAGGAATCAACCAACAAGACAGATTACCATCTACCTAATCAATTAAACTGGAGGTCAGGCATCCACCAAGTCAAGGAATCAACCAACAAGACAGATTACCATCTACCTAATCAATTAAACTGGAGGTCAGGCATCCACCAAGTCAAGGAATCAACCAACAAGACAGATTACCATCTACCTAATCAATTAAACTGGAGGTCAGGCATCCACCAAGTCAAGGAATCAACCAACAAGACAGATTACCATCTACCTAATCAATTAAACTGGAGGTCAGGCATCCACCAAGTCAAGGAATCAACCAACAAGACAGATATTAACCCAACTAGGCAGCCAAAAAGCTGTTCAGACAACAACCCTGCCTATCAATGTTATATAAATGGTAAACAAACCGATAATGTACTGATCGGCACCCACAGAAAGAAGCAGAAAGACAGAAGGAAACATCAGACAACACAAAAATTAAAAGCCATATTACCTTGCTGGGAATAACGGCTTACTGTGCCACTGATATCTAATTTTTGTCCTTATGGAATATAATAAACAACGCCACAGCCACATCAGTCACAGCACAAAAGTTACTGCAGCTGCACTATTGACACAACAACACAGGGAACAGTTCAATCAGATGCAGTGGGCCTATTAAGAGTTAACACAATAAGATCCAAACCAACCAATCAGCACCAACACGATTGTGTTATAGCCAGCACTCTGATACAGATAAAACCCAGCCAACACAACACCAGATGGACATGGGAGATAAAAAGACAAGAATCACCAGTATCAGAAGTATCACCCAATGAAATAACAACAAGATTTGGTCAGCAAAATGGGAGCCCAGAACCCACATGGCGACCCAGAACCCACATGGCGAATAATCACAAATCTTTTACCTGTCGGAAATATGTTATGTTAACTAGTGGATCCCGTATGCCAGTGCACAAATCAGCCTGCCATCATGATTCTTCTTCTTATTCTTCTTCAGCATTCTGAGCCCTTGAGGTTTACTGCTGCAGATATCCCCCGCCTCCACCCATCTCTGTGACTGGACTTCTCCTTGACTTTAGTGACTCCAAATGTTGTAGGTATGTCTCTGCATTATCTCTCCACCTTCTTGGTCTGGGTTGACCCAGCTTTGAACGGGTACCAGGCAAAAGTCCTGGGAAGTAAAGGTGGCCGGTCTGATGTTGACCACATCACCCACCAAGTGCCAACTGGTCTATAAAATATAGCCCTAGCCCTATATGCCCAATATCCCTGAAGGCGTGGAAACATTCTTTACTTTACTGACCATCTTCTTGGTCTGCCTCATGGTCTACTCTGCTGCTTTTTTGTATGCAGTTTTGGTCTATCTATTATCTGCCATTTTTTTTTCTTATACGTCCCAACCACTGCAGTATATTAGCCTTTATGATGCCAGCAATTCTATTCCTGTATAATCTTTATGTCACTATTGCCACATAAGGCATTCACAACTCATCTCCATTACTGCCAGTCTGCTGTTTTTCTGCCTATGGTATCCCTTGTTATTTTACATTCCTACATTCCCCTGTTGAAGCTGAAACATTCTGGTCACATCAAGCGCCATGGCGGATTGGACAAAATAACAGAAAGCATGGCACCAGAATGGCAGAGGCCGACCAACATGAAGATGGACAGAGGATATAAGTGACTCTTTGAATATAAAAGCACCAAATTTTTGTTTCAGGCAAACTGCGATGACAGCATCATTCTACATGATGATGATGATGACATTCCCAAATTTATTGTCCTTCTCCGGGTTTTCTTGTCACCCACATTTCCCTTTCCCATCTGTCATCTGTCACAGATGCCAGTAATTAGTGATGATTTAAACAGATTATGAATGTCACTGTTGCTTCTCCTTCTCCGTTCTTTGCTGTTTCATGACTCCCACAACACTAATATATCTTAAACAATGTCTACCTTCTTGGCTTGTTCGGTGTCTCCCATTTTTGCCGTAAGAATCCCCAGGTTGAGGTGAGCAACTGAAAGTTTTAAAAAAACTGCATTAAGTTTTCTATCTTTAAGCACAGGCTATCTCTTAACAAAACATAAATAAATTTGAGAGAGAGATTATTGTCATTACTGGTCTGCAGACACACCCACACACATCACTGTACTACAGTCACTACCAAACGCATCATAGAACCCACATCTCTGTACCGTAGATATTACCACACACATCATACAACCCACATCTCTGTACCTTAGATATTACCACACACATCATACAATCCACATCTCTGCACTGTAGATATTACCACACACATCATACAACCCTAATCTCTGCACTGTAGATATTACCACACACATCATCATCCAACCCACATCTCTGTACTGTAGATATTACCACACACATCATACAACCCACATCTCTGTACTGTAGATATTACCACACACATCATACAACCCACATCTCTGTACTGTAGATATTACCACACACACCATTTAACCCACATTTCTCTACTGTAGATATTACAAAACACATCATACAACTAACATCTCTGTACAGTAGATATTACCATACACATCATACAACCCACATCTCTGTACTGTAGATATTACCACACACATCATAGAACCCACATCTCTGGACTGTAGATATTACCCCACACATCATACAACCCTAATCTCTGCATTGTAGATATTACCACACATCATCATACAACCCACCTCTCTGTACTGTAGATATTACCACACACATCATACAACCCACATCTCTGTACTGTAGATATTACCACACACATCATACAACCCACATCTCTGTACTGTAGATATTACCACACACATCATAGAACCCACATCTCTGTACTGTAGATATTACCACACACACAATACAACCCTAATCTCTGCACTGTAGACACACGCACACACACATGCACGCACGCGCACGCACGCACGCACGCACACACACACACGCACGCACGCACACACACACACACACACACACACACACACTATATATATATAAATCACAAAGCCTTTTCTGTATTTTGTGTGTTTATTATAAATAGAGTGTTAACTCTTCCCAAATCATGACCAATACATAAAATATTTAACAGTCACACTGGCAGCCCAGGTTATTGTGCATTTCTGTATTTATTGCGACAATCAGTAAAAGCAAACTTTCACTGGAGTTATATTCCTTAGAATTTGTTTCATATTTCTTTCTTAGATTAGGTTATTTTTTTAAATTATATTTCGCTGTTACCTTTCTTGAAACCATTTATCTAAATGTGTCTGAGACAGTACATCTGTTTATATTTATATAAATAAACAGCATTTAAAATCTATGGTTAAGCATCAGCAGGGAAATCAAAGCTAAATTTTGCAAGCATGCAATTTCACTGAAGCAACATGTGGATGTGAGTCCTGGACTATCTCTCAGGGGCTTTTGAGCTGAAATGCTATGGACAGATTCTCAGAATGCCAAGGACAAAGAACAGAAGAAATACTGACATTTTAAAAGAACTGAACATCAAGGAAGATTGGTTAATAAGCAGCATTTGGTCTCAGACTGGCTAATAAGCAGCATCTTGTCTAAGAAAATGAAATGTTTTGATCATATCAAGCACCATAGTGCAAGGAAATCAAAGCTAAATTTTGCAAGCATGCAATTTCACTAAAGCAACATGTGGATGTGAGTCCTATCTCTCAGTCCTCAAGAAAGAAAATAGAGGCTTTTGAGCTGAAATGCTATGGACGGATTCTCAGAATGCCATGGACAAAGAACCAAAAAATACTGACATTTTAAAAGATCTGAACATAAAGGAAGATTGGCTAATAAGCAGCATCTTGTCTAAGAAAATGAAATGTTTTGGTCATATCAAGCACCATGGTGGAGTGGGAAAAAAATAACAGCTGACGGCATGGTACAAGGAAGGAGTGGCAGAGGCTAGCCAACAGGATATAAGTGAATCCTTGAACATGGAAGTGCACAAGATGAAAGGGCTGGCAAGAGACAGATTCTTTCAGATGGGTCACAAGGAGAGCAACATTCTGCAAACCATATCAAAGTCCTGCAGATACTACCACACACATCAGAGAACCACATCACTGTCCTACAGACACAAATTAGAGATTTCATATCACCGTCCTACAGACATCCATCAGAAACCCACATCACTGTCCTACAAACACACATTAGAGAATTCATATCACTGTCCTGCAGACATTCATCAGAGACCCACATCACTGTCCTACAAACACACATTAGAGAATTCATATCACTGTCCTGCAGACATCCATCAGAGACCCACATCACTGTCCTACAGACACACATTAGAGAATTCACATCACTGTCCTGCAGACATCCATCAGAAACCCACATTACTGTCCTACAGACACACAATAGAGAATTCACATCACTGTCCTGCAGACACACCCATCTATTACAGAAACCACATCACTATTCTGCAAACACAACTGACCTGAGAGTTTTGGTCTGAAGTGAATGGCCTTTCTGTAACTTTCCAAAGCTTCCGTGACTCGATTCTGTGTCTGCAGGAGCACTCCCCTGGCAAAACAAATTAGGATACAAAGAAAAATGTAACAGCTCAGGAACACAAACACCAGGAGAAGACAGTCTATGAGTAAACATGACTTTAAACTAGGGCTGTACCGAATAGTGATTTTCACTATTCGGCCGAATACGAATAGCAGGACCAACTATACGGCCGAATACGAATACGAATAGTATATAGTATATAAAAAAAAACTTTTTTTTAAAAAATATACAGACACACACATTTATAATGTCAAATGAACGCTGAACTTTTACTTCACATAAAGTAGCACAGAATAGTCATCTTCTTCTTTAGCATTCTGAACCCTTGAGGTTTACTGCTGCAGATATCACTTTTCTCCATTCATCTCTCTGCCCCAAACATTTAAGTCTGTTAACTCTCATGATGCCAGTGATCAATGGTGATTTAAACAGATTATGTGTTACATTGTTGCTTTTCACTCTCCATTCCCAGTTAGCATCTTTATCTGGTCCAAAGATTTGTCGTAAGACTGTTTTCGAAAACCTGTAATAAGGCCTCATCTCTTTTATTTCTGCTCCAAGTTTCAGAGCCATGTAAAACTACTGGTCTTTTCAACGTTTTATATATTTTGATCTTGGTGTTGCGAGACAGACACTTTGACTTTAGCAGATGTTGAAGGGCCATAGTATACTTTATTTCTAGATTGTAATCTAGATAGTATTTCTTCTCTCAGCATGTTGGAGCAGTTGAAGTTTGCACCCAAATACTTATAGGTTTCCGTTCGTATGATTTTCATATTATCGACTTGGATGTGGCCGGAGTTTATATTCTTTCCATGTCTAGTTAGTTTTCGTACAGAATAGTAAACATTTAAAAACATTTTATGTTTTGCATCCTTCAGTCAGTCTGTGGTAACTAATCACTAGGAATGAAAGAATCCTAAGTATTGTAACAAGTAACTAAACTTGGAGATTGTCACTGACAGCTTAGTTAATGCAGGAAAGCTTTATTAGCTTTCAGCAAAACCAATCGTTCCATGTTGTCAGCATTTAGGCCGTGTTGGCAGAAGCGGGTGTTAGGCAACTACTATTCGTATTCGGTCCGACCGCAACTATTCGGCCAAATACTGAACAGTCAATAGGTCCACTATTCGGCCCCGAAGCGAATACGAAGCGTATGAAACCAATGGTAAAGTCTACCAGTACCTACTGGGTTCAGTAATACATGGTGAGAAATAAGGTCAAACTAAGACAGTTGTTGATATTTCACTTATCACCATCATGTGCCCTGCCACTGGCGCAGGCGTTCATGCATGGCCACAGATATCGGTCCCGTGTCCTCTGGATTAGTTCCACCAATGATATCTCTCAGTGCCACCGTCATAGACCATCTGTCATCATCTCTCTCTGTCTGCCTCTCCCTCTTCTACCGGTCATCTTCCCAGTCGTCACAATATTCTCCAAAGCCTCCTTCATCATCACATGACCAAAGAACAGTGCTTGTCTTTTCCTAATAGCTGTATATATTGATCTACTTCCATTAGCTTCCTTCAGGCAATCCTCGCTAGTTACTCTGACAAACCACATCTCTTTTGCCTCCAAGTTCTTTCTAATTTGTGCATTCACATTCCATGATACAATACCATACCAAATTTCACTAACAACAGCAATTCAAGAAGAGGGAGAAATTAAAGATAAGAAAGGAAATAATTTCCATGCCTTAATCTTGATGTGGCACATTATCTCTTGACCAGCCAGCACTCAGTGAGTAGCGTAATATATCATGCCTATTGTCAGAACACTTTCTGACACGTGTTTCATGAGCAGGGACAAGGCCTGCAGTCTTGTGCTCACTAAAAGGAGTACTGTGCTAAACCTGTGATGGTAATGTGAAATCCACATATTCCAAGACTTTACCTGCCCCTGACATTTTTTTTGCAAATAAATACGTTAAGAGAGTTAAAGTCTAGAGGACTGACGTCACTGCACCACAGGTTATTCAATACAGCTCTGTCTTCCCCTAATTACCCGTCGAGAGTGTCGCACAAAACACCAACTTCACAGTTCCACTGACAATCCCCAAGAATTTCTGTAAAACTGCACTCATGAACAACATACCTAGGAAAGAAACCCACAACCCTCATAGTGTGAGGCAAACTACTTGACTACTTCACCATCAAGATCCCTGGGACACAGAACAACTACATCAGAACTTAGCCATGTCTGCCAGCCATAGAAACCTGGACAGTATCTACATCTTGTGACGGACATGGTCAGCACACATATAATGTCAAGGCTTACCAGAAAATACAGCAGTAAAAGAACTCCATCATCTCCTAGACTTATGACAGAGTTCTTTTCCAACTAACAGGTCTAAGTTGAATTTATATTTTTCTGATTGAGTGAGAAACAGAGCCAAGCAGTGTTGCCAGATCTGAAGATTAACAAAATAGGCAGGTTGTGCTTCAGTTTTTCTCTCTCTTGTCAAAGTGAGTCATTTGTGGGTGGGGTGACTCATTGTTGAACTCAGAGACTTAGCGACTTTTAGCTTAATCTGGCAACACTGGCACCAGGTAGTGGGATGTCTGAGTTCCAGTCAGTCTGTCATACTCGGTAGGGTCATCAGACTCTAATATCTAGACTTTGATGTAGTCTAGGAATAAGTTTTGAGAACTTTCTGACACCACCAATGCAGTTATCTTTCTTCAGTATTTTTTATTGTTGTGTGGTTGTAAGTGTAGATGGTCATAATTCGAGATGATGTCTCTTAAATGTGCAGCAAGGTGGCATCTTTTAATTAACTAGGGTACACAGGTTGGCCAAGGCTAAAATGAGCACCAGGATACCAAGTAAATGTGACCTACTTGATGTTAACCACATCAAACACTAATTAACTGGTCTATAAAAAAATAGGTAAGCAACGTACACCCAAACAGTCAAGAGCATGAAAAAGGATCCTTTACTTCTTCTTCTTCCCTAGTCCTGTTCTGCTTTTTAATGTCAGGTTTTACAGAAGCACTGGATGCGAGCCTGGGTATGTGTTACACTGCCAAAATTTAAGGCCTCGGATATTCTATCTATCCATCGCTAGCATTGTCAACCTCTAGTACTGGTTCCACTGTGCCCATGTAACAGGGCTCTCTGTGATACACCATCTGGTGCAGTCTTCACACATGTCTAAACCATTTGATATATTGTCTCTTGATGTAGTTTATTACTATTTCCATCCCAACCTCTTTCATGATATTATCATTCCTTTTTTACAAGAACTATAACATGCTGACATGACTCACAGGTTATAGTGGACGTCTGCCATGTTTGGTCGGTATGTAAGGGCCTTCTTGTATGCTTCCTCAGCTTTGTCTGTTTCGTGCTTGTCATTGAAGATATTGGCCAGATTTCCCCAAGCTGGAATGCACAAAATAAATTAGACTGAAATCAACCTTCAGTAGCAGCAGAAAGCAGCAAATATACCCATTCACAGACTACTGAACCAGCAGTAGCACTACTAGTTGCCAGATTACTTAACACTTAACTAACTAACTAACTAGGGAAAGTAAAAGAGCCAGTGACATAACCAGCATATGACATAGCTACACTCATATTTCTGGGACTCTCAGAGGCAAACATATATGGGCATTCTTCAGTATATAAAAGATGCTCTGTTTCTCCTGCTCACACAAGGAATCATTATGTCCTATATGTGACTGAGTAGCCACAGTTCTTTTTAAATAATATTTTTGGCCTTGTGTTTATTTCTGGCTGTGTTCTCAGAAATCTCAAGGTTGCAGCCCATGTACTCAGGGAACTTTGGTGACCTTCTCAAAGTGAACTATGATCTCTCTATTGGTACCTCATATACATGATTAGCCATGTTATTTCTTGATTAGGTTAGTTGGGTATCCTTTACAGGATGCTGGAGACCCAACCCCAACAGCCCCTGGCTGTTGTGTGGATTTTCTAGGCAAATTTACATCCAGTAGTTTGCCATTGCTTTCTGGACGGTCGGCTTTCTTGATACCACTGTCAAAACCAACGCAAGGCGCAAGGCCTACAGCTGGGATCGAACCCGGCATCCCGGCATTACGAAGCGTTCGCATCGACTTAGCCACAGAGCTGACATTTCTTGATTAAGGGAACTGTATAAACCCTATTGCCCCAGTAACATTAAAAGCAAAAGAGTCATGACCCCGTGGGAATTCCCCCAAATATTAAATGAAGTACATTCCTGGGGGCCTGAAAACAATATGTATTGAGTGATTCATGCCATTACCCCATGACCTCAATCACTGAGGCTTACGGGGAAATCTTAAATCAACTTAACATTAAAATAAAAGCTTTCTGGTTCCCAAAAAACACACACATAAATGCTGTTTGTAACTATTTTCAAAACCTGACCTCTGAATGTTAGCACAGCCATGAACACAGCCAAAAGCATTAACTATGTATTTTGTAAACACATCCCTGTAGAGAAGACAGAAAAGTGACATTTATGAAGAAGTGAACCCAACAGGAAGTGTCAGTTTTGTGGCTTTTTGGGGTGGCTTCTTGCCTTAAAAATATAAATGTCTAAATAAAATTACAACTAGAATAAAAAAACATTTAGACATGACGTTAAATCAGTACTGTTGTATGGAGTAATAAAACGTGGCGAACGACTAAACAAATATTCATAACCACAAATATCCATTGAATGGTGTCTGTGCAGAATAGAGAGAATTAAATTATATGACAGAATCACTTATGCAGAGCTTTAGGAGAGAAATAAACAAATTATAGTGCATGAAGAGGTGAGGAATAGATGCTGGCTTTGGATAGGAAACATTGCAAAAAACTGAGAACAATATACTAGAATGTTTTTACACTGAAACTCACAGGATCAAAGGAATAAAGGCAGACCAAAAAACAAATGGAAAAGGGAATTAGACAATGAACTGAAACAAATGAGGAGGACATAAAGAGAGCCGTATGCATTTGCAAAGGAAAGGATAACCTTGTGTATTAGTTGAGGGCCTATGCGTCATTGGGGGATAAAGGACAGAAGAAGAAAGAAGACAGTTCCATTGTAGGAGGACACAAGAGAGCATAGGCATTCACAGCTCGCTCTGCAGGCAGAACAGTTCAGGAAGCCAGTATTGACTTCTCTATGACTGCTAGCAGCATGTTGTTAGAGGTGATGGCATTGACACACACACACATTTTCATGTGGCTGGAGTCAGAGGGCCATTCCAATGTGTATGCTGAGTGACTCTATGGGCATGATTTAGCTGGTCAAGGCAGGCAGTGTACGCTGACAGCGGACTGTCATTGCAAAACTCCACTGAAAAGGAGTTACCTTCATCTCGTCTCAAGGGTATACTGGTGTGTTGACAATGAAAGAGCTAATAGACTGGCAAGTTCTGCCTTAGCTGCAGATAGCTGGCCTAAGGATTGCTCTCAAATTATTGATTTCCACAGAGAAATAGGATGTAGTCTGAGGATTTTGAGAACAGTGTGTCCACATTGTGAGCAAAGATCGGCACAGCCAGACATGAGAGGCACACCAGACAAACAAGATGTCTTGTCAACCAGCTCAGGATTGGTACTATTAACTGCAGGACGCTGATGTATAGGCTGAAGGGGGGATCTGAGCACCTATGGACACATCTGAAGTACAATGAAGATAACCCAAATCATAACTCAGAAGGAAGAATGGCTAAACATTGTGTTTCTTCTCCACCTGATAGTATCTCATAAACATATGGTTGAAGATGAAAGAATATCTATGAGAAAAATAGCACAAATGAGGAATCAAAATCAACCTACCTTTAGCAGGGTTGACACGGATGCCTGAAGAGTACAGTCTCTCCTCTGACTGCCAGTCCAAGTTCCTCAGAACTGTCCGAGCACTGAATGCCAGCACCAGACCGGCTAAAGCTAACAGCAACAACCTCCTGCAGACGTCTCTTCGCCAACGTCTGTACAAGGCCTCTACACCCAGACCCACCAGTAAACATACTCCCATGCTAGGAATGTACAATATCCTCTCTGCTATCACAAAACCCACATAAAAAAATAAGTTGGATGCGGGGATAAATGGAAACACAATTATGGCAATGGATAAAATGCTCACATCCAGGGATCGGATGGATGCTGATATGAAAGACTGGTAAGGGTGGCCAAGGATCACATTTTGAGACTTGCCATTGGGGACTGATGTCTGAGCTTGAACCTGAGCAAAACTTGTCTTGGAATGTTTGCTTGCATTCAAGGAACCATTGCAATTTGGAATGATATTCTGATATATTTCTGATGTACCACCTGAGTCAGCTGATTTTCCTCCATATTTGTGAAACCCTTTTCCAGCAGCTTTCACTGTAATTAAGTAATTACTATCGTTATTCTCCATTGTCACTGCAATCTTGTACAACACATACACAAAAGCACCATAAAACAGCAAAGTGAAGACATTCCGCATATCCGAGAAACTTTCCAAAAGTGGGACTGCCTCCATGGACCAATCAAAACTCAGCACACTTGGACACAGCATCATCCAAAAGTTGGCCATGGGCAAATAATTATAAGTTAAAATCCTGGTCAGCAAGCTGTCAGAATCAGACGCAGGGTTGTCTGAGGGAGCAAACTCTGGTGGCTTGTTGCCCATGAAGTAAATGCGGAAACTCAGCAAAGTCAATCCATAAACAGTCAGAAGAAGAAGGCCTTCAAATGCTGGTCGAAACCTCACCTGGATAGAGGAGACAGTGAGATCGTCTGTTATTTCATGAAATTCTGCATATCAATTATGTATATGCTCAAGGGTTTATTTATAAAACATTTATACGTCTGATCTTCAAGCGCCATCAGACAGAAATGATTCTTCTCATATTCTGTGTATGGGATAATGTATCTTCTCCCCAAACCACTTGAGTTTCAGCTAATATATTCTCGTGTTTTTCACACAACACCATACAACTGCCAAACTTCACGCGTTTCATACATGACAAGGCAAACGTGGTCAAGGGCCCTTTAGGAAAAAGCAACGGAATCAGTAGAGACAAGATTATGGCCTGGAGAGAATGAGGCACGTAGGTGTAACCAAAGGATCTGGCCGGCTTACTACACTCAGAGGAAAGGCAAGACGGTCATATAACCAGATTGTGACCGGCACCATCAGTATTTGAACTCTGCGCTGGCTGCTGAAGATGAGGACAGAGACACATGAGAATGCCCCGAGTGCTGTGATATCAATTATTGACTCAACTTAACTCAACTTCATGCATTTCTGGAAATTAGTTTGGTCTGTCATGATCATTGCCCACTCAACATTTTGTACATAATTTATGATCAGTCATCCATGTCTTGTCGTGGGTTTGCTCCTGGCGGAGCCAGACTTTTTCAAAATGACCTTGGCTTCCAGGTGGACCCAGCCTTGAGTGGGTACCGGTTGCAGTCCCGGGAAGTAAAGGTGGCCGACGTGATGCTGAACACATCACTCATCTTGCGCTGATTGGTCTATAAAATATAGGTCTAGCCCTATATGCCCTATACGCCTGAAGGCGTGGAGAAGGGGCCTTTAATTACTTCTATTTACATCCATGTCCTAATGTTCTCTTGCTAAGGAGAGAATGGATCGGAACAGTTTGTTACAATAAACATCCGGTTTTTCTGAAACAGACTTTTGGTCAAAGTAAAGGACCTTTTTCATGCCAGCGGGGCATCGGCTTAAATCTCTCAGTGCCAAACAATGCACCATGTGCAACTGAATGCAATCATATGCACCAGTCAAAATATTATGGAAGGATTAATATTTAATTCAGCTTTATTTAATTTGATTTATTTACTTGTTCCTTTATTTAATTTATTCATATTTCTTCCGCTCTTTTCACAAACACCTTCTTACTTAGTTCGTTTCGTATTGTAACCTTCATATTCATACTTTCCCCCTCATTACGAACTTCTTGGTTTCATGTTGACTGTGCTTTGCTTATTAGCTCTATTGCCTTGCCCGGTGAGCTTTCTAGCCAGTTTGTACTGTATTAAGTCCTCCATTGATAAAGTAAGTAAGTAAAAAAAAGTAAAGGACCCTTTTCCACGCCTTAAGCGCCTTTAGACATATATTTAGACAGGACACAGTAAAACACCCAACAACCCACAGGACTCCTACAAGGGTTGCGCATTTAGCTCCTGTGGATGTAGTATACCCATGATTTTGTTGCTGTCATTATTGCCCTTCTTGGGCTCCAGCCATGACCTTCTGGGGTTGAAAGAATTAGGACACTTGACTCATACTTTGATAGACCACCTGACACTCGCTGGATGATGCGGCAACATCATGCCGGCCGCCTTTACTTCTCAGAACATTACCTGGTACCGATTTTCGGCTGGGGTGACCTGGCAGTCAAGATCAGTTTTGAAAAAACAACACTGCCTAATTGTAGATCTGAACCCTAGACATTATGTTCAGCAGGCAGGCATCTAGTATAAAGTAGGTCCCTTTCTACATGGCAGTAAACAACAGAACAAGTCAGGACCCTTATCACATCATTGGTGTATCAGGTTTATCATATTTTTTTCTGTCCTTCATCCTCCCAATGGAGCACTGACCCTCAACCAACTCATCCCAAGTTATACTGTAACTGCAAAGTACCCTTTTCTAAGACGTATCAGGCATATAGGGTTGGACCTATCTTTCACAGCCCATTCAGCACTCAGTGGGTGATGTGGTCACCATCACACTGACCGCCTTTACTTTTCAGGAGTTTTCCTGGTATCCATTCAAGGTCTGGTCAACCTGGGAGCCAGGGAGATTTAAAAAAAAAAAAGTCCAGCTCCGTTCAGGTTTGAACCCACAACCTTCCGATCTGCAGGTGAACATCTAACCGCTACATCACAGCAGTTCCCAGGGCATATTGTGCTAGACCCATATGTTTATTGACCAATCAGCGCTCAATGTTGTCAACAAAGTAATGACTGCCTTTGCTTCTCATGTCATTTCCTAGTACCCAAGTTAGACAGAGCTGATCTAGGAAATTACAAACAAAATGCACCTCAATGTGGATTCAACCTGAAGATTTTCGAGCCAGATGGCTTCCCATGTGGATTACAGGACCCAATTGGAATGGAGGCGGGGGGAGGGAGGCCCGTCTGCCCCCTAACAAGCATGTTGTAATTGGCGACTAATCAGAAGTGGGTTTTTTTTTTCAGAGTACATCTGCCTAAGAGGTGAGAAACTAACAGTCTGCATACAAATAAGCCAGAGCTCTAAAAAACAAACAAGACAAAGTATTAATCAGAATTTTTAAGGAAAGAAGTAGAAAGATGGAAGGACACACTAGACAGCATAAATGTCGAAAGCTATAGTTTTTGTGCCAGGAATCGAACCTGTCACCTCATCGAACCTGTCACCTCCAAATAGGGTGTGTGCCTTGCTATGGAAACAAGTGTACTAAGAACATGATCAACTAAGCACCCCTAAAAAAGGTGTCTTCACTGGCCATGTCTATCTTTTTATGAGTGTCGATTAATACAATGTCTGTTACTTTATTATATATATATGGGTTGAACAAGGTGCTTCAATGTGAAACTGCTTCCATAAATTCTCTCCCCTGCTGGCAACAAGGGTGTTTACCCAACTTATCTAAATTACCTGCCTTAAAATAGGCCATATTACTTTGGGTCACCCCAAACCCTTAGCTGACTATCTGTGGAATTATACACCAGGTGTGGGTAGGCAGACCTGATTCATGGCTCTGACTTTGTCAACTCTTGACATCTGAATGTTTGCAGTACTAAAACTGTTGACATTGCAACTCTAGTTTCAGAAAGAAGATTGCCATTTTTTGTAACTCTATTCACCAGACAATAGATTTGTGAAAAGAAAGTAAGATGACACTAACTGGTAGACAGTTTAGACAGCAATAAAGGCAAAGATTACACAAATGTGAGCTCCCCTGCTGGTGAAAGACACTGATGATGAAAATGGGAAGAAAAGGAGAACATGAGAGTTAGAGACTGTGAGTCGGGAAGGGTAGTTTGGGTCTGGATTAGTTAATGTTCCCTTGTATTATGTCACCTAATGTGTAGCTATGTTGTGGTGTGTTATGACACAGCATGCAATGTTATCTTCAACAGTGTTACACAGTGTTGTTTTATGCTAGGCTGTGTTATTCTGTACACTGCTGCATATGAAATATTGCTCAGTACTGTTTTATACTGTTTTGTTGTGCCATGTCACATTCAAATGGTTTAAACCGATGTGCTCAATTAGAAAAGACCCTCAGACCAGCTCTTAATTCTGAAGGTCTGCATACAACGTCATACTTTTCAAAAGTCACATAAAAAGTTTTTAAAACAGTAAATCTATATTAGAATTCCCCCCCCCCCTCAACTTTTGTTAAGGGTAGGGGAGGGTGGGGTGTTTGTTTTCCTCAAAATGATACCTTCTTCTTCTTCTGCTTCTACCTTCTACCCCCCATTGGGTCACACGCCCTGAACCAATTCATGCCAAGCCATTGTATCCTTCGACATTGCCTGCAGCTAACTCTATGCTCTCCCCATCTTTTTAACTCCACACTCTTATCATTTCCTCTAATATCTCTACAGTTCTTCCTACATAGCATAAAGTTCTAATATTTCAGGTGCCAATTCTGAAGATTCTCCTAGATAAAAGGAGGTGCGTCAACGATCCTGACTCTTTTTGGTTTTCTACAAACTATGTCCTGATTCTGTTAAAGGAAAGAAGAAGACATGAAACAGAGAAACAGATAAAATAAAATATGAAATGGCTTACCTGTGTGAATATTCTCAAACTGAAGACATCTGAGGGTGAGATCCGATGAGCCACAAACACATCGTAAGTTGCACACACGGCCAGCACGGTCAGTGCTTGTTCCTTGTTCAACATACCAGCAGCGGTCAGAACAAACAACAAGCCAGACAGTGGCCATCTTAACCTTGGGAGTCTCTGAGCTCCGAACCTCAACGTATTTCATATAGCACAGGAGGGTTAACAGAAAATGTGCACATGCTAATATATCAGCCCTGCCTACGATACCAGCTACAGCTTCTGTGTGTATGGGGTGAGCAGCGAACAGGAGTCCTGCAGTGAAAGTTCCGATGTGCGACACCAATAGAAGCCTTGCCAGGATTGTGAAGAGGGCCGTTGTGATGGTGTGGCAGATAACGTTGCCCAGATGGTAACCCCAGGGGTTCAGACCCCCCAGCATGTAGTTCAACCTGAAGGTGAGCACACACAGGGGTCTGTAGGACTTGTGGGATCCGCTGTGGAGTAGTGGGGTGCCCCAGAAGTCGTCGTAAAAGAGGTTCCATATTGGGGTCTCTGGCAGTAAGTCTGGGTTCTTCAGAATGGCTCGGCTGGCAAGAAGAGACATGAGATATAACATTAGGTCGGCTTACGCAAGAAAAATATCAATTATAACATTAGATAGGTTTATACAAGGAAAATGTTGATTATGGCATCAGGTAGGTTACATAAGGCAAAGTTAACTGTAAAATTAGGTAGGTTTATACAAGGTATACATTGGTTACAACATCAGGTGGGTTTACCTAAAACAAAGGTTACTAGGTAGATTTACAAAAACAGATATAGGTTATAACATAAGGTAGGTTTACATAAGGTATAAATTATCTTTAACATAAGGATTGTTTACAGCAACAAACACAGGTATAAGATCAGCTAAGTTTATATGTGTCACCGGGGCCCTCACGGAAAGCAAAAAATAGTGACACTGCACCCTACCAGGCATGTCGTAAGAGGTGACTAAGGGTAGGGTTGGGCTTGAGGTTGGCTACCTCATCCTGTAAAAATCATAGCCACAAAAACCAACCAACCATGGATAAGTCAAAAAGAGAAGCAAATAAAATCCAGCCAACCAAGATGAGGGGAGGCTCTTCAAATAGAAGAAGTATGACACGGTGTGGAGAAAGCCGTAAGGAGTTTGGATCGTTGACTTACCTCCTCTCAGCTAGGAAAACCTCCAGAATTGGCACCTGAAATGTTAGAACTCTCTATGATATAGGGAGAACAATGGAAGTAGCAAAGGAAATGGAACATTATAGAATTAGTATTTTGGGGTTATGTGAAACTAGATGGACTGGGACAGGGAAAAGTATTCTTAATTCAGGAGAAACTATTTTGTTCTCAGGACACACAGAGGAAAATTCGCCGCACAGTGAAGGAGTGGCCCTGATGCTATCAAAAGAAGCAGACAGGGCACTAATAGAATGGGAAGCTGTGAGTCCAAGAATAATAAGAGCATCTTTTAGAACAGTAAAAAAGAAGGTGAACATGTCAGTAATACAGTGTTATGCACCAACAAATGATAAAGATGCATCTGTTAAGGAAGAATTTTACATGCAGCTTCAAAATATTATAAATAATGAAAGAAAGGGCAACTTAAAAATTTTGATGGGTGACTTGAATGCTAAGATAGGATCAGACAACACAGGTTATGAAGAAATTATGGGGAGACATGGTCTAGGAGTAATGAATGAAAATGGAGAATTGTTCACAAATTTGTGTGCAGGTAACCAGTATGTTATTGGTGGAAGTATTTTTCCCCATAAAAGAATACACAAGGCAACATGGGAATCACCAGACCATAAGACAACTAATCAAATTGACCACATATGTATTAACAAAAAGTTTAGATCATCCCTTTACGATGTTAGGGCTTTCAGATGTGCCGATGTATTTACTGACCATTTCCTGGTGATAAGTAAAATCAAGTTGAAACTAAAAAGATATATAACATCTTATAATCATAGAAACCAATATAATGTAGGCTTTCTCAGAGATAAAGAAATTAAGTAACAGTTGTCAGTTACGGTCTCTAATAAGTACCAGGTGTTGTAGCAGTTAGCTGAAGATGTCAACACAGAAGTCTGCTGGGATCAGATCAAAGGTATCTGGAATGAATCTTGCGTAGAAGTATTTGGCAAGAAAGAAAGGAAACATAAAGCATGGATAACACCAGAAACCATTAAACTGATTGAAGATAGGAAAAGTAAAAAGGCAGAATAAAACAATAGCAAAACTAGAGCTGCTAAAGCTAGAGCTCAGGAGAATTACACAGAAGCCAACAAGGAAGTTAGGAGGCATATAAGGGCAGATAAAGTGAAATATCTAAATGATCTAGCACAAGAAGCGGAGACAGCAACAGCAAAAGGAAACCTCAGAGAACTTTACAGTAACACAAGAAAATTAGTAGGTAAATATAGTCAGCCAACTGGATCAATCAAAAATAGTCAAGGAAAGGTACTTACTAACACTAAAGATCAAATGGACAGATGGGTTGAATATTTTGAAATGCTTCTAAATAGACCAGGCCCAGAGGTTCCCCCAGATATCCAGCCTTTAGAAATGGAACTGGATATCAACTGTGAGATACCATCCAAAGAGGAAATTAGAAAAGCTATAAATCTTCTAAAGGAAGGAAAGGCCTCAGGCCCAGATGGTATCCCAGCTGAAGCCATCAGGACCAACATAAACACATCAACAGAATTGCTACATAGATTATTCAGTAAAGTCTGGGAGACCGAAGAAATACCAGCAGACTGGAGAGAAGGATATCTTGTGAAACTGCCCAAAAAAAGTGATCTACAGGAGTGTGAAAACTATAGAGGAATTATGTTGCTGTCAGTTCCTGGAAAAATATTAAGTAGAATTATTTTGGAACGATTAAAAGATGCTATTGATAAAATGCTAAGAGATGAGCAGGCAGGTTTTTGGTCAAACAGATCCTGTACTGATCAGATAGCCACATTACGTATTATAATAGAGCAAAGCAGTGAACTGAACTCACCACTTTACATTTGATTTATAGACTATGAAAAAGCATTTGACAGCATTGATAGGGAATCTCTCTGGAAATTGATGGGGCACTATGGAATCCCACAGAAAATTATCAACTTAGTAAAGGCAACATATAAAGACATGAAATGTCGAGTTCTTCATGAGGGAAAGCTAACAGATGCATTTGAAATAAAAACAGGTGTGCGACAGGGATGTCTTTTGTCGCCTCTCTTATTTTTACTGGGTATAGACTGGACTATGAAAATAGTAAATGTTAACACCAAGAATGGAATTCAGTGGACCCCTACAAAACAGCTTGATGATCTGGACTTCGCTGATGATATTGCCCTTCTGTCCCATTCACGGAATCAGATACAAGATAAATTAAATATACTTAATGCGAGATCACAGCAGCTTGGTCTGAAAATCCATAAAGGAAAGACAAAGATAATGAAAATAAATCAGGCAAATAGTAATGTGGTTTCTCTTAATGGCACCCCACTCCAAGACGTGGAGTCGTACACCTATTTAGGCAGTAATGTAGATAAAGATGGAGGAACTGATAGAGATATTATAATAAGAATACAAAAAGCAAGAGGGACGTTCATAGCACTAGGGAATATGTGGAGGTCAAAAGAAATTAAAAGAAATACTAAACTAAAAATGTTTAATTCTAATGTCAAATCAGCACTATTGTATGGGGCGGAAACATGGAGAACAACGAAGGCAATTACTAATAAATTACAGACATTCATTAACTGGTGCCGGTGCAGAATAGAGGGAATAAAATGGTATGATAGAATAACTAATGTAGAACTTTGAGAGAGAACTAAACAGGCTCCAGTGGATCAGGAGCTGAGGAAAAGACGCTGGCGTTGGATAGGGCACACACTGAGAAAACAGGAGAACAGCATAACTAGAATGTCTCTGCATTGGAACCCACAGGGGCATAGGAATAAAGGAAGGCCAAAAAACACATGGAGAAGAGAGCTGGAGAATGAGGTTAGAAAGATTGGGAGGACATGGAAAGAGCTCCATGTAATGGCGAAGGATAGAACGACTTGGCGTGAGTTGGTTGAGGGCCTATGCTCCATTGGGGGATAGAAAGGCAGAAGAAGAAGAAGTTTATATGAGTAAAGTAGAGGACCCTTTTCCATGCCTTTAGGCGTATAGGGCATAAAAGGCTAGAACTATATTTTTATAGACCAATCGGCACAAGATGGGTGATGTGGTCAGCATCAAGCCGGCCGTCTCTACTTTCCCGGGACTGCACCCGGTACCCACTCAAGGCTGGGTCGACCTGAGAGTTAAGGTCAGTTTTGACAAAAGTCCGGCTCCACAGGAAAGCGAACCCACGACTTTCCGAACCGCGGCGATTGTCTAGCCGCTCCGCCACGGCGACTAACTAAGTTTACATGAGGCAAAAATTAATTCTAACATTAGGTGGGTTTATTCAAGGTATAAATTGGTTACAACATTTTGGTGGGTTTACACAAAACAAATACAGATTATAACATTGGGTAGGTTTGCCCAAAGTACAGAGATAAACCAGATCTGTACAACAGATAGGCAATCAAAACTCAAGTTCTAGAACAAGGCCAAAGTTCAGAAGTGAATGAACAACCACAAGTTTCCGCAGGAGTTTACAGCAAGTGAACAATAAAAACAACAAGAAAACTCTTGTACGTTTAAAACACATATTTGAGCAGACACATACGCGCGCGCGTACACACACACACACACACACACATAACCAGGGAAAGGAACGAGATCCAGATCAGGGCCTTGCCTTGCCTTGCCTTGCTATGATACAGATATGTGGTCGCATCAGAAGGCACCGTAAAGGAACAAAAAGGGAGGGGGGCATAAGCAGCGAAATCAAAATACAATTTGAATTTTTGATCTGACCGCGTGAAGCTATCAGGGGCGGTATTTTGAAGACTTGTATCATACTGAGATACTCTACAGCAGTGGACGGGGAAAGATAGATAAGTGCAAATGGTTAAAGTCGAGAGGGTGGACTTCATTTCACATGTTTTATATTTCTCCAGACAAAGCACAAACTACGTAGCTCCGGCGATGGTCTTTGAGAATCATTAAAAATGCACTGGCGAACATAAGTATGTGGTAAGTGAAACGACTCCACGATCTTCTGCGTGAAAGCCAAACAATTTAAGCACTTAGCCTGTGAGGGACTCGTTCTTTTTCTACTTCTTCTGTTGCTGCTGCTGCTTTCTTCTTCTTCTTCTTCTTCTTCTTCTTCTTCTTAGAATTCAGCATTTGTACACTCCGGCGGAATGTCTTGATTTTTCACCCATTGTTCATTCCGAACTTAACTTTTGCCCATCCATTTTGCATTTTTGCCTTATATTTTTTTTCTTAATGCAGGCTGATAGTTCGTTGTCTCTGGAGTCGAGACCACAACCTGCCAGAATCACCGAGAATCAGGTGAAGAAGGCGGGCCGGCATTTTCACAACAACGTTATATGCATACCCGTATATGCCCAAACGCAGACAACAGTCTATTCTGTCACAACCGATTACCACAGATTGTTATCGA